GAGATCAGAGGCTAAGCAGGGATTCGAGATTGCACAGCGCTTGGATTGCGTGACCACGGTGCGTCGACATGTCGCTATACAAGCATCAGCGGGTTTGCATGGTGGAGAGCAGAGGGGGAAGTACAGCAACATCTATTGTTATACATTACTGTGCTGTATTTCTATGCCCCGAATCGATGCTTCTCACCGTCACCACGTGTGGAGGACTGCCGTATGGTCAAATACAGCCCACAGCCTCAATGGCCGTGGGGAGGGTCCTCATCCAACAGTGGATGGGACAAAAGGGACGCACATATTTCAGATATTAGAAGTAGAATGACAATGTCTACGAGAAGGAGGGAACTGTTAAGTGTAGGCCGGCTGTATTAAACATGTCAACGTATTTCCTTATGTTCGTGTCACTTTAAGTGTAACGAAGAAGCGAGTCCCTGTGAAGGGATTGCATGCAATCGGCCACTTGACTCAAGAAATGAATGCCGCCTGGCTTTTGACAAAAACTCGTCACGGACGCAATGGGGATCTCGCTGCAGGTAAAAAAAAAACACAATAAACAACGCTCTTACAAACCTCGTGCGTTTGCCTTTTGAATGCAACCCGTTCAAAATGACTGCGTCATTGAAATGCGGCCTTGCAGAGCAATTCACTCTCCAGAAACCTCACACATTGAAACGTTGCTCAACGGTAATCACTCGGTGAACAAAAATAAATACATGATATAATAAATATATTCTATAATATACTTATATCATATATTTATTATATTATGTATAATATACTTATATAATATATGTATTATATTACATATTATTTAAGCCCTCATCTTGCCTTGTACCGTAATTGTTAACAAATTATCAATTGAGCCGAGGAATGCCGTGTACATCTAAAGTTCTAAATCGCATTCACCGAATGCATTTTTTCCCCTTTAAATAGCAAAAGTTACCTCCACAGTGTTAAGATAGCAAAAGGGGTTCCACAGGGTTTCTTCCTCGGCCCCCTTTTGTTCTCTCTTTATGTCAGTGACTTGGGCACTGACCTGGATCATTCCAGGGTAAATCTTTTTGCAGATGACACGATACTGATTACTGCTGGCCGCTCTCCGGATGACATGATTGCTAAGCTGCAGGGTGATTTCAACAAACTACAACATCAGCTAGTTGCTCTTAAACTAGTCCTGAATACCTCCAAAACCAAAGTGCTATGCTTCTCACCGGGACTAAAGCATGAAGTTACTTTTCCCCAATTACATTCCTTAAATAATTATCAAATAGAGCAAGTCAAGATCTATAAGTATCTTGGGGTCATCCTGGATTCAAAACTGAATTTTGAAGAACACTTAGATTATATTGGTAAAAAGACAAAAATAAAAATTGGTTTTCTGTATCGACACAAGCATTGCTTCCCCCCAATGTTCCGTTTGGAATTGATAAAGCTATCATACTGCCTCTACTTGACTACTGTGACATCGTGTATAAATCAGCCCCAATTACTGCACTGAAGAAGCTTGATTCCATCTATCACTCGGCCTTAAGATTTACATTGAACTGCCCATATAGGACTCACCACTGTGATCTCTACATTGGGTGCTTGTGCACCAGATCTTATTTATTCACGATGTACTTATAAAAAAAATCCGCAAACTACCTGCTGGATCTCCTCTCTGTTTCAAAGAACAAATTTGACCTTAGGTCTTCGCTCATTTACCAGCTTCACATTCCCTATTGCCGTACAAAAACTGGAGGAAGGGCCTTTGCTATTGATGCCTCCAGAGTCTGGAATGCTATTGCCAATAAACTGCAACTTAAATCGCTACCAATGAGATCTTCTCTCAAAACTGCTCTAGAGGAGTTGTACGCCCCTAGCTGCCACTGCTATTCATTGGCGTAAAATAAAATGTTTCGCTCCGGATGACGCTGCAAAGTATTATCTGTATTTTGATTTAGCGTGCTGATCTTAAAGGTGCATTGAAAAATTTGATACTCCGACCGATGCTTCTGTTGTTGTGGAGTAACTCATGCAGCCAGCTATGGCTATAGGGTTTGGTGTTACATGTTATGTAGTTTATTGTAAAAATTCGGTCACAGTCCCTATGATCACTGTTACGTTGCAATTATGGCTTTATTTTTTGGTGATTTCGAAAAGTTTTTTGGTTTGGACATGTTTTTTTGTTGTAGTACGGAGTTAGACTGATGGCGTTAATCTAAGTTTTCTTGTGGTTGTTGTTATTGTTTGACTTGCATCCCACTGGGATTTTTTTGCACACAGCGTTGGTTTACGGTGCTTTTTTCAGGAATATTTTGCTGGTTTTTTTTCCATGGATTTTCTGTTTGCACAGTCAACACATAGTCACTTTAAGATGTTGTTCTTGTTCGCGTTTTTGTTTTTTTTGTTTGTTGTGGTTGCACCCGATTCAAGAGCCGAATGGCTCACAGGGCTATACCTAAATAAATGAAACTGAAAACTGAAACACATCCACATGTTTACTCAACGTTCTCAAACGCGTTTTACTGTCGACTATACCAAGCCCAGAACAAAATAAACATAGCAGCGGAGCAGCGTTAAGTCACACTCCAAAATATATTTGTTGAAACCTTTAATGGTTACATTATATTTTAAATTAATAACAGTCGCATTGATCAGTGAGCTGCACGTGTATTTTATGATTATATTGTATATACAGTGGTGTTTATATCGCAATACCGAATGCTATAATCACAATATGCTGTACATATAAAACAACACCGTATTGTATGTGTTCATCGTACGAAACTCTTTGTATGGTTGTTGAAAGCTTTGAATAGAAGTTGCGTACGCAGGGAAATTACGCAACGGGTTCAAGCCACTTGTTAACAAATCGGCGGTGTCTCTCTCTCTACCTGGGTGGCGGCGGGGGGGGGCGAGACTGAGGCAGGATTTGTGAATGAGAATTTACTCGAGTCGTCCTCACAAGTGAACTCAATTGTCCCAGCAACAAACACACTCAAAGGAAAATCTCTACTCCCCCCCCCACCGCCAGTAACCTTCCAGAATGTTCTCCATCCTCTCCAAGTCCTTTCCACCAACCCTGTCCCTCTGTCTCTTTCTCGCATCTCTCACTCTCCCCTTCCACCTCGAGTTCTCTCTCCTGCCAAATACGTCTCTCTCAAAGTCTTCACCCAACTCCCATTGCTCTGCCGTTCATTAACTATTTTTCTTGTGGTGTCCGAACACGACACTGATGTAAGAGCCAGGGATTTTGCCACTGCACCATGATATGAGGTGGCAGTATTAGCAGCTCCGGTTTTTAAATGTGATGCTTGGCATCACGTCGCCGCATGGTAAAGGTGCGGCCCTGCAATTACCTTGCACACGCCACTGCTGGCAAAACAGCCTCTACCAGAAGGGAGTTATGAGATGACCCATCTGGAAGCTACTGTGGTCTCTTACACGCTGGCTAAGACGTCTTGGAAGAAGTAGGAGTTAATATCATACCACCATGGCCAAGAACACAAATTCGTACACATTTTCGGAGACATTCATGTAGAACAAAAACCAACGTTGAGCCTCAACTAACTTCATAAATGCCGTGAGAAGATCAAAGATTTACAAAATCAGCCGTCGCCATATATATGTAAAGTGCATGGTAGAGCCATGTTTTTATTTATTTTAGGTTTTGCACATTATGGCTCACATTCAAATACTGTACACAGGTACGTAGGTGAAGCAATTTTGCCGGATTGCAAGCAAGCGTGCCGCGCGTCAAATTTTGTAAACGAGGCGAAGATATTTTACTTAAATAAAACGAAACATCCATTCGCTTCCCTGTGAACTGTTTTTGTTTGCTATTACCCAGGCAGGTGCATCACAGCCTTTCACTCAAAACCAGCGGTGGCGGCAACCCACGGGCGGATCTCAGGACACACCAAGAGAAACGCCTCTTATCTTTAATGCATTTATATATCATCACCTTATCCAGAATTAACAACGGCACAACATGTGAATGTAATGGTGGAGACGAGGCGAATGAAATAAGGGGGGGGGGGAGGGGGAATCTGTGATGCGTGAATTCGGTGAAAGTTAATTTGATGGGAGTAAAATGATGCATGGATTGAATGAACGGGGAATGGGTGAAAGCCATAGCATGAGAATATGAAGAGGGAACGGGGGGGGGGGGGGTGGTGTTGGTCAGTTTTCTCACGGACCGCAGGGTGTGTTGAGGTCCACCAGAATGGACAACAGTGCTTTGGGTATTGGCACCCACAACTGTTCGAAATGAATGCCACAGGTGTCAGAAACAGCTCCGAAACGGACATTGCTCTTTCCACTGACCTCATGTGGTCGCATTCGTTCAAATCCTGCAGGTAACATCTCGTCCACATTCCAACATTTGTTCATTTTCTCTATCGGTGTCCATGTTCCTGATCTATGCCATCCCTGACAGCACGCACCAATTGCACCGTTATTCAGACACATTGCCGCGATGCGATTCCAAAGGAATTCCCATCCCGCTCATATTCTCATGTATTGGTACACATTGTTGTTTTCAAGTTGTCCCGTTTGACGGTTTAGTATTGTTTAGCAAACTTGCATGTTACTTTCTGACATTACATGCCTTCGTTAACCTGTTAAATTTCATTATATTCTCATTCGCTGTTTTTATATATGCATTTGTAAGGCTACATCCATCTTTACCCTGGTTGTAAGATCAGTACGTTGGAGGGGGTAGGAACACTTTACACGATTTCCCATAAAATATAAAATGAAATACTCTACACAAAGTTCAGGACACATTTGTTCTGGCATTGCGTATGGCAGCAATGTGCCAGGAGCTGAATGCGGACGTCGAGATCTGCTCACTAGGAGAGGGCTTCAGGAGAGAGTTCGTGTCGTTTCGCTATTCCTCGTCCGTTGAAGGGGGCGCAGACCAGTGGTTTGTGATATTGCCCAGAGTTTGGGTTGCGATTAAACAACACCTGTTATTTACAGAATCTCCGCTATTGAGCAAGAGAACGAGAGCCAGCCACAGCATTTGTACAACGGTTTATTTGATTTGCCGGAATGCCATCATTGATACATCAGATATAAGTAAGTTTCATAAATGTACAGTAGAACTTTTGACACCAGTATGTATTTTGTACAACCTGCAGTTTTAGGCATTTCAAATATGCTGGGAACTTGCATAAACAAATGATTTGTTTTTATTGAAGGCTTGTACAAATGTCAGAAAGAGATGAGACATTTAAGGGAAGAAATAAAAAAAACATAAAACCATTTTCCCATGGAATTAATAGTAATGGATTTGTTTAAATGTTGTCCTTAGTAAAGTAAAAAAATTATATACATACACCAAGAAAATGTTAAATTATTACCATCAAATATATGGCTCTCAAATTTCCAGAATTGCAACTTATATGAATCCCAAAGCAACTATGGAAGTTTAAAGCTTTTAACTGGATATACGCACACCACTTACTGTATTTACACGTGATTTACAGATCAAATTATCTATTGGATCATTTTATACCAATGCCATTGTTGTTGATTCGTCTTTATCCCATGCTTGCAATGTTTTCTATAAAATAAGCCGGGAAAAAACTGACAAAGCTTTCAGGCATTCCTTTAAAATATGAACCCCAAGGCAGCTGCTGCATTATATATATTTAAAAAAATTCACTTATCAATGTTGAGTAAAATGTTTTCACTAAGGCAGACGTTATATGTAGATAAATTGCTGGGCACGTGTTGAAGAATACAGATGTAGTGTTCAAATGCCTCATTGTAGCATTCACACATTATTGGACTTTGTATTTTAAAGTGAAGACACAAAGCGCCATGCTCTGCGATACTCTTTAAAGAGTTTAAATGGAAACCGTGTTTCTTCTCTGGGGAATGTGCTAATGGTCTTATTTGTTTTAAATCGTTTGTTTTAAACGTTTTCTATTTTCATCTTACATTTAGAAAAAAGGCCCAAGGATTTTTTTTTCCTATTTACTAGAAATACATTTTAATTAATGTTTTGATGAGTGAGCTGCATTTATATACAGGTAATTCGTTGAACTGCCACCTAGAAGAGGCTTAATTGTGACAAATTCAAGCTGACAGAACTCTTAATAGATTTTTACATTTTACCATATACTTTTCTTTACACATATAAACACGAGACTTGCCTTGCAACTTATTAAAAGTGATACATTTTAGTGCAAGCATTGTACCATCCATAAAGTAGGTCTCGTCTTACAATGTACAGCACGAGTCAGTTCCACTACGTTACACTGTGCTGTAACAGCAGTCTGCGCACACTTGAACGTGCTTTACAACAACGGTAAAGGTGTAGCCTTGCAACTACGTGCTCATGCCGCTGCTAACGGAAGGGGCTGCACTCGAGGGAGCTCTAAATAGCCCTTCTGGAGAGTGTTTCGGCCCACTCTGCAATGCTGGCCAGACATCTTCGAAGAAGTGAGAGTACCCACACTTTACCCCCACCACACACGACCTGCTGCTGATCGATTGTGTTGTACCCATGTATTCTTGCTGGGCGGATAGCTGGGGCAAGAGTTTAAGAAATTTGCACTGTTGTTTCATCTGCCGCGCTGGCTGATGGATCCGGTGACCTCTGGGCCTCAAGTCCAGTGCGCTAACCATTAACACCACGGCACCATCCAGACAGAGTTCATGAAAGCAACAAACGAACACCACGATGCTAATTTAAAAGCATAAATAAATACATAAATATATTTCAAACGTTTCAGTTAAATTAAAATTTAATGCACCATCTTTCAGTGAACAGTCTGCCCACATTTACAAAAGAGATGTTTTCTGTCTCAGCTATAGGTTCACACCTGGCTATAAAGTTGATCGAGTTATTGACATTTTGCATAAAATCATTTTGCTACAGACCACTCCATGACGTGTAAATAACCACAGAGGGCAGAGTGACTTCATGCAGGTCAAAGGTGTAGATGTATAAGTAGTTCGAGTTACAAATGAGGGCCCTAAAATCCTACAGATTTGGCCATATGGTTCATTGAGCTCACATCATTGTCAGTGCATTGATCCCGGCACCGCCGATGTTTGAGTCTGGGCATCCACCCGCGGTTAAACGAGGCTTTCTCATGTGCACTGACCTAATGGTTTCTGTACCAAATTCTAAAATATTCCAGCTCTAAGAAAGAAAACAATATCAGTGTTACCGCATTGGAAATCAACGATTCTATAGCTGGATATAACATTGAATGTTGCACTCTTTTCTCCGAGAGGTGTCCAATGGAAAGTTTGTCAAGCAATGTTCAAATAGTATCGGGGGAAAAAGTAGAAAAAATCACAAAGGATCCATTTGTATAGACATCGGTAACACCCCAGGATGTGTACAACCATTGCTTTGCATGTGTGTGTATTTATATTTATCCCCAGGAGATACATAGCAAACTAGTCCTTGGATTATACCAAGCCATATGCATAAAAACAAATATTTCCAGATATTTAACATGATCGCCCTCTGGCGATTCCTGTAATGGGAGTGGCATATTTTGTCAAGTTATCATAAATCAGAATTTTAAAAACTTGGCATATCGTAGCTTGCTGTAAGGCATGTTACACTTGTGTGTTATTGTCTGAAATATACACCGTGGCTGTTTATTCCTCTTTCAAGCAGACATGAGATTGCAAGCAAATAAAAACAAACCCTCTTGCTATTGTGTGTTATACTGGCCTTCCCTAAGCTACCTCCACTTCTTATGAACACACTCGGGTCATAACCCACCGAGCACCTGCATTGTCCCTCACGTGTGTGCCGCCGTTACGTAATGCTCTTTGTGATGACAACGCATTGCAATTAGCCGAGATCTTTGTTTCTCCCAATTGAATTTCCAAATTTGAAGCATAAATTGCACTTATTGTGTTTCCCACGGCATCGCCAAAGCCCCACGTTTTTGGGCATTCCGCATTTATCTCCCCGGTGTGTATTATTCAGATCGCGACGGCGTGTTGTTTGCGCGATGTCCGACGTGTCGCGCGCCGTGCTGGGACCTTCTTCAGGAAATGAGCCGCGAAGCTCACGTCGGACATCGCGCTGAACAAAACGCGCGGCACGATGGAAGTCACACCGCGCTCCGCTGTGGTAACCCTCACAGCGGCGTTTGCTGTACGCTTGAATGCAACACGAGTGTATCTGCAAGCGTGCAAATGCAACAACATTTGCCAAAGCGAGGCCAACATATTGTTTTGGTTGTCATAAAATTTACGTCGGTGTATTCCGCACTAAATGATCAATGTGTTGATAGCATTGAAAGCCAAATAAATTGTGAGTGGTTATAAAAGCAAAAGTCAATATATACCAACCATTTGACGAAATGGCCACATTTTAGCAATAACACCTTATACCAGAATCAAAGCACTCTGTATCAATACGGTGCCATATTTAGCATATTGTGACTTGGGTGAGGGGCAGCGATGTACCTGCATTGCATAAATCTTCATTGCATTGACACAAACTCAATAGGACTTTGAGGCACACCAACAGCTGTACATCAAATTGACATGTGCTAACGGAGACCCAGGCAAGCCCCCTCTCGCCTCCATTGTCATCGTTTCTGTACGACAACTTACACTTTGTTTAATACGTAATCATACGCAGAACATTTCAATACGATTATAAAGCTAACATGGCCACCGGAAGGTAACTTTAACATTTTAAATATTTTTATTTAACAGGGAAAGGTCGACTTTGCGTGGCCTCTGACTCTTTGATTGACTAGCCATCAGGGTTGGCGAGAGTTACACATGAATGCCTAGTGCTTGTATGAAAAACCTGAAGCCAAATGTATCGCTTACAAACGTATCCATATCAGATACCCATCAAATGTATGCGTGTGTTCACAAGTTAAGCCTCAACAGGGAATGCGTTTGAAGTCTGAATCGCTCATCTCATGCAATCGTATTGCCACGAATTGTATTTTCACACGGAAACTAAAATTGCTACTCTAAGAAAAATGTATTTCATTGGTGAAGCTAATGTTATGCTTTTTTACTTTGTAATTATTTATAATCACAATTTAGTACCATAACCAGAATAGTTTTTGCATACACAGCAACGTGGCACACCATAACCTTTATAGTGCAATAAGTTTGCATCAATTAAAACAATTTGCAGGTAATCTAAAATAATAATTTTCCATAAAACGAAACCAAACCCTTTCCATCCATTACAAATGAAATATAAATGTACTCATAATTTCTGTGAGTAGCGTTTAAACAGTTATCATCTTTTACATCATTCTCCTTCGTCGAAAAAGGCTTTATATACGGGGTTTAAACATTTCCCTAATAAACGGTGGTATGTGTAAATCAACACGCACATTATGCAAATGTAACGTATCAATTACAGAAATGCCAAAACATTTATCTTTGTAAATACACGTTTCCCAGGGGTAGAAAATGTTACTTTGTAATGTTTTTTTTTAATGTAAAGCAGCTGCAACAAAACAAATGGGATTACCACAGGGAAACAATCAGTGGGCCACGTCGCGATGGGTTGCTTTGATTTTTCACAAATTGACGAAAGCGTAGTCCAAGAGACTTCACCAGCGCAGCAACAATCCTCCATTAGACCACTTCCTCCTCCACGTAGGTCGATGGGAACCACCCAACCTAAAACACAACCACACATGCTTATATCACACACGCACACACACAAGGAATCAACCCAAAGATAAATACCGTGCCTCTATTCCACTACACAACCAAGCTGCACTCGAGCCGTGCTCAGCTAGATGGTGAGATGTTAACTACCTCGCCTGGTATGACAGAGGTTATGGGTTCAATTCCGACCATGACGCCTCTATATTTGGAGTTAGCATGTTTTTTTTTTTCCATGGACACGTGGATTACTTTAGAAATATGCTTCTAGAGTTATTTGGCTTCGATAATTTTCCACATGATGAACCACTTCTCATTGGACTATCATAGTAGGGACCAGATTGGGTTTTTTTTTTTTTCCACTGGAGAAGCCAAGGCGTGCCACTGACATCACAAAGGCGATGAACGAGTTAAGACCGACAGCAGATAATGTGTGCGGACGCTGTGTGTGTGACAGACGTCACACACATTGAGCAAGTCGAGACGCCCGTAGATGACGCGGTGATGCTCTCCTTGAGTTGTACTGACTGACCTCGCATGCAGTGAACACGTCATTAGCACTGCCCCTGGCCCTGCTTCGCTCCAAGCGAGATTCAGTTATCTTGTGGGTCCAGCTAACCATTGTTTGGTTCTGTCTCGGCACGGTTACTATGATGTCCATGGAAATGCAGCAGTTACAATACAGAGGAAGACAATTTTATATTAATACATGATTTTAATAACCGGTCAAAGCCTGAGCGCAGTTAATTGTAATGGCCACGGTTATTATAATGAACGTGGAAATAGAGGTAAGATGAAGAGTGTGGCACGCAAGTTGGGAAACACAATTCCACATGCTAAGATGACAGTGACCCCATATTAGAATCAGAATATTAATTTATACTGTAGCAATCCGATGAGCTATAAAGCTCTTGTTTACAGATGTCCATTCGGGACGGGTAAGAACGTTACTACAACAAACAGTACAACAACACGATAGGAGTGAAAAGTACAAGAAAGGTAAACACATCACCCAAACACAAATTAAACTAAACCACCCCATCCTACCAGACAAAGCCCACTGAGGTATTCACTTATCTAGAATTGAAGCTTTCGTGACTGCAAAAAATACTAAACTCATTGTTTTTTTCGGTAAAGTCACGTATGTCCCTGTACGTTATTCCTCCAGGCGTCTTTCTGCGTGTGCCTCTCCATGTGTGTATGTCTCTTGGTGTGGTGTCGCTCTGGTTGTCCCTCTGTGCTGCCCAAAACATCTCTCCCTGTGTGTCTTCTCTGTGTATGTATCTTCTTGGACCCCGTGTCTGTTCACGAGTCCTTGTCCTCTGTTTACGTTGGTGTGTTCAGCCCCGAGGATGAGAACAAAAGATGTAGCAGTCTTTTGAAATACGTGGTCAACCAGGTTAGTGTCTAACTGTGTTGTTGGCCGACTGGTTTGCATCACATTAAGTTTCTAAGGTTTGTTGAGTTCGCGTCTCCCATCTTCTTGCTGTATTTGCCCTCCGTGCAGTTTGGCGTTCTCTAATGTGCTATGTGCGTGGTGTCCCTCTGTGTGTTCCCTTGCTATGTGTTTTACCCCATTTCCACCTGATGATGAGCGCTTGTGTTGCGTTCGAAACGTCGTGATTTATTTTAATCTAATTTTACTATATTTATTTAAATTTTATTTTATTTCCACATACGTGACTTTACCGAAAAAAACAATGAGTATAGTATTCACTTATTTTGCAAAAGTGACCTGACAACAAATGATAGCTCAACAAAGTGCAGTATAGCTAGAGAAGCCTCGGTGAATTTCATGACATATATTTTATGAACATACTGCATGAGGATGTGAGGCTAATTCCTTTTTAATGAGTGATATTTCATATAGAAGGAGCCTGTATCTGGAGCAAATCCACACTAAAAAAAACACATGGACGGATTAGGAGCCAATTTCTGTAATGCCACCTCCTATCCACCGAGGGGGTGGGAGTCTTACAAGACACGCTGGTACGTCATCTACCAACTTGGTCTCTGTGGCGATGGATTGATCATTACATTTTAGTCTGGTTCTTTACTTTATCCAGGTGTGACAGTTATGCGATTTTGTGTGCACATTTCAGACACCTGAAAGATGTTGGTGACGATGAAGGATTATCGTTGAGTGGTGTTTGTACTTGGGGCATAGTATGTCTGCAAATTAGAATCGTAATTCAGATGCAAATTAATTTGTCCACTTTTCTTTATCGATGTGGCCAAAAAAGAGGTGTAATGAGAGGACAGATGACAGATGCTAGGTGAGACAGAAATATGGTGAAATGAGAGAGATGATGTAGAGAAAATACAAAGATATAGTTAACTGAGAGAAGAGAGCTTCAGACCAGACAGAGATGAGAAATATTAATTTGCTAAGCAATTATCTTTACTTTTCATTCGGATCTGAATTCCAGCTGGTTTTTGGTGCATCCACATTTCGTCCATGAATCTGTGGCTCCTTGCACTCTAAGCTGTGGTCCTAAGCTTTTGCTTCGTTTGTATGTACGCTGAACATCTTTCGCACCGTGCGTAGTCAACTGTGCTAATATAATCGGAGGTGCGGGGGAAGGACAACAAACATAACACAAAAAGCTGTTCTAAATAAATTAGTTTTCATTCTATATAATTTAAAAGTGCACAGCTCCAGTCGCTTGCTAATATCGGAAAGGAGAGCGTTCCAGACGGCCGCAGAAGCACGTCTGAACACGTACGATGCGGTCACCGTCTATTTTCAGTGGCTCGCCAAAAGCCGCTGCTGCGATGAGAACCGTGATGATTTATGCTCCTTAACGACATCAGCAAGGTATCGTGGTTCATTTGTGGCTAGCACTTTGTGTGTAATGAGCGCGACCTCGCAACGTATTCGTTCGGCAACTGGAAACCAATGCAGCTCGGCCAGCACCGGACGGACATTGCCTACGCCTGGCACCGCTATCGCCAGGGGGTAAGTGGCGGCTTTGCCAGCCGAGCCTCACCCTGCCGTCCACCTCGCCGCGCCACCAGCCCTGGTTGGCGCCGCTCTTGCTGTAGATCTTCACGACGTCGCCCTGCGAGAGCGAGAGCTCGCGCATGTCGCGCGCCGAGAAGCTGTAACGAGCCACCGCCGTGCCCAGCATCCGCGGAGAGAAAACTGCACGCCGTTTTCCCACGCGCACATACACACACACACACGCGCGCATATGCACAGTTTTTTTGGTTTTACATTGCGCTTGTGATTGCGTTATTTGGTGTCTCATTTGGAACGGGGTCTAATTCGCCATCGAATTTATACTGGAGCACCCAGATTGTTGTCATGGATACATGAATGAATTACAAGTAGCTGGTATTGTACCAGCCCTGGCCTATGACCAGATCACCCAGAATGCAATTTAGTCTCGTCAGATCTCGGAAGCCAAGCCAAGTTGGGCGACCACCACCACGCTGTTATAGGCTGCAGGTGCTGTGCAGCAGAAAGGCGGTGCGGAATGATCCGCCGTTGTACTGTACCTCTATACCACCGACGTCTATGTCACCCGACTTCAACCGACACTGATCAATGTGGTGAAGCGGTGGTCCAATGACACCCACGATCTGCAAAGGCCTTGAACACCTGGTATTCCCAGGCAGTCTCCTGTCGAAGTATGGGCCAGGCTCAAGCCTGAGTAGCTTTCAAGATGTGACGAGATCAGGCACATTCAGGGTGATGCGTTCGTAGGCAATGGCTTATGTGGTCATGAGTGCTACTCCGGAGCCCTACATTGAGCAATGACAGCCTCACTGTGACCATTAGTGCATAATGTAAACAATTTGCTTTGTGTGTTCTTTGAAGTGCTGCGTGGGGTAGTCCTGGGCCAGTGGTGGGAAAATCCATATTCCCATGACAAGGATCATGAGGACAACCATTGTACAACCAGTGCTGACTTGTCAATAAGTTTTGCAGCCTCACCAGGTGGTACAATGCATTTAAATGAAATTACTTTGATCTAACATAGCCCTTTCACACACTCTGATGGACTGGTATGATATATAATATATGACTGCTACAACATTATATGTACACATTTTAAACACATTTTGGGGTTTCTTTGACTCCCAAAATCACCTTCAACCAACAATGTTTTTTAAGTGATCTTTATTTTAATAATCAATGCCTGAAAGGGTCACGGTATGCAATTTAGGAAATTTTCTGAACATATGAACCTCATGGCGGTACCCTGGGGTACCATAGTACCCCGGCTCTCGCACAATGTCCGTGACGCAGTGATTTTTAGTCTCTTGATGGTCGGCGATGCGGAAATCGACTCATCTCGACGAGCTGTACTCACGATGCACTATTCAAAGTTTTATTTTTTCGATAACGGATGTTTTATGCTGATGCTTGGCGTTTCGACATCGTGGAGTAGCACTGATTTTGGATTTATTGGTAACCCAGTCTCGGAGTGAAGTACACCCCTGGAAAAAAAAGTGTCCCAGAAAAGAAATATTTAATTGCCTCGGCCATTTTGTATTATTTGGTACCCAGGAGTACCGCCATAAGGATCATATATATAAAATAGATTTTAAAAATGTGACAAGCTTGTTTTGACAATGACACCTGCCACCACAGCTGAAACGAATGATCAATTTGGTTTATGTGCATGTGTGTGTAGCTTATGCAATACATATAGATGAATATACAACAATACACACATACGTATGAATGGACTGTGTATGAATAAAAATGCACAAATCACAACGTTGATGAAGCCTGCTGGCAATGCTGAAGTCGACGCTGCATCGCGATATCCAAATTGAAGGACCGCACTTTTGTGACAGAGGTCACGGGGGGACGGGGGTCACAGAAGTCGTGGAATTTGAATAAAGTCCATACAATATTGGAAACGGCTGCAAAAACACCGAAAATTCGGCGCACTGTAGATTAGGGGTGGTCTGGGGACAAAGGCAGGCACGGGGCACAGCGCCGCGTGTTTGTAGATGTAAGCTCACAATTACATTAATCCCGAACCTTTCCGTGAATATTTTAACTGGGTTTTTATTTTCTTCCCACCACCCAAACCTTCTCAGCAATTAATTTAGCGGGGGTGGGGGGGGGGTGAAGAATGTCCCAACGATGCTCTTCTTACACTTGGAACGATCTTGTATCTCGTTTAAACTCAGTATCCGACCCCTCGGTACAAAAGCACTTCTGAAATTATTATTCTTATTGTTGCCACGCGCTACATAATTCTTGGCTTATTTCCCTTTCCCCCCCTTTGCTTTGTTTTACTATTGAAATGTTTCTGCTTTCTGTGATAAATTGCTTATTTCCGTTTATGAGCCTGAGCCTGGTTCAAGTTATTTAATTTACTTTGACTTACAATTTTTTTCTTCAAGTTTCTTATTTCTGGACCATGTTTTGCATTCGCATTTTCTCCCTCAAAAAAAGACGCAATTAGTCTCAATAAGCTCTCACCTGAATGAACAACACAGGGCCTTGTCTGTTAGAAGACACAAGAATAAAAATCCATTATTTTTCTTGTTGATATGCATATATGTAGTGATCTACAACCTTTAGATTGTGACTGCATAATTTACAAACCTCGATCATTACAAAATTCTAACCCCAATATATTACAAAGCATATATAAGCAGAATTATTCACTGTCTCCATGTATATGAATAAAAGGTTCTCCATTGGCTTTGACTTTCCAGGAGCATCTAGCAGCACTAGCTTAATCAATCAAAGCCTCAATTGGTTTTGACCTTAGGGTTCTCATCAGCAGTCAGGATTGTTAAACAAATGCTGCCGAGTTACCAGATGTTATTTGGCAAGTGTACCGCATACAAACTATGTCACTTTATTTAACGCCAGAAGACTATTGGATACAAACTCAGTGCGTTTGCTGTGGAGCATTCTGGGTAAAAGTGTATATAATAAGCAGATATTTCATTGTGTCTCCGCATATAAATACAAAATATATAGCCCATCGGCTGTTGGATAGACCTCTGTACATTGCTGGCAGAAGAGGTATGGACATCGTTTGCCTGTAAGTGACCTCTTTAGTCTTCTTGTGCCTTGTCTGCACTGCACGTTGTTTTAACAATGCTGTGTTTTGCTCCGTGCAATGTCGTTGTTGATTGATGGCGCATATATACATATTTATTTATTGGATATTTAAATGTAGTGTTTCTTGGGAAATGGTGTGTTTTACCACTACCACTTGCCCTTTTTGTATTCCTTAATTGGCTAAAGTCGTTAAAAGATAAATTATATATTTTAAAATATATGATTTCTTACCTCTTCCCTGTATTATTCATTTCTGTTTCCCTGATGTGTTATGTCTGTCACGGAAACGATGAGCGTGGTTTTTATTGATGACACCTGACTTGAGAGCTTCTTAGCTCGCAGGCTACTTCAAAATAGACTGAAACTGAATCGACAACGAGCGGGATCCAGGTAAATATTGTTTCCGAACTTCAGGTGGTCACCAAAACGTAGCCTGATCAGGCGCGACCCTTCTTAGCTGCTGTTGGAAAATACCGGGCTGATGAAACCGGATGTAATGAATGCCGACAGATACTGCCAGTCGCTTAAATATTAGGCATGTAATGATGATGGTAATCTATTGGACGATTATAATCAATTCTAATGCTCCCGATACATGCATCGAATCATGCAAGTGAAAACTGATGATTGTTTTAAGGCGTATAGATTATGTAAATGAGTGCTCAAGAATCTTGCAGCCACTAGAGATGCTACTTTTACCACGGTCTTTAAAAATACAAATGTATTCTTGAGCAGAATCATAACTTCTAAATCGTGGCGATTCATCAAATCGTAGGGGAGTGAATAAATACGTGCCTGTTACACGTGCAGCCAAGAAACGTCTCAAGCGTTGTCAATGTGCCAACCACTACCCCGTGGACATGGATGTTTGGACTGATGCAGAGGTTTTCGCAGTTGTGCTGTACAGCTCTCCGATGTGTTTTGTGGGTTGTACCGAGTATAACCCCAATCCTGAAGAAGCTTCCGGCATGTAGAGTGAAACGTCGGGACCATCATTCCGAACGACACTCGGCTCAACCCCCCCAAAAAACGTCTAAAACGTTTGTACTACATAATTGTTAAATAAAATTAGGAAAATACAAGAACTTAAAGTGGTTCATAATGACCCTCTACCCACCTCATATAGCGTTCAGGTGATAAAACCACGGACCCCGTTAGCCTCTTATCCTACATAAACAAATTGTTTACATACAAAATTCAGAGGCCCACCAAACACGGGTGACAAGCCAGACTATATGAATCAGATTCTGGAAAAGGCCAATGAATTTCGATCACCAATGAGCCTGGCCTTTGTAGACTACGCTAAAGCACTGAACTCGGTTGACATTGACGCCTTCGTCCTAAGCCGTCACAAACAAAAGGCCTAAATAATGAACTCCAGTCACCACAAGAGTGTTACCAATACGAAACCAAAACAGCATTCCCATCTGCTTAATGAAACGATGCGCAACATGCAGTCGCAACAACATGCTCACGCGATAGCAATGGCAACAATGGCCTGAGCGTATATTATTCATTTCGATGGCATATTGAATTCTAACTGAGATGACAGACCCAGGGGTCTGCAGAGAACAATGGGCCGTGTTGCACTCACGCACACATGCACAGGGGGTGGAAAGTCATGCAGCACGTCCGTATGGCGCATGCAGATGCAAGAGCGTGGTATTGGCTTCATGCCCAGGATGAAACGAGGACACTGGAGGTATGGGGTGTGGGGCGGAGGGGGGGTGAGGTTTTGCTGTGAACAGCCGTAGCTGCACCCTCTGGGATTTATCTGTACCTGACCAGAACGGCGCGGCCGACGGAGGGACAAAACTGAAATTCTGGGAGTTGAGCAGGGAGAAGCTAGCACTGACGTGACCGGCTTACGGGATCAGGGACACACGGAGAGAGAAAGACGCAGGTGTCACTGGCCACTCGGCTGCGCACGCAGTCACTGCTTAGAAATAATGAAAAAGCTGTGTCTGTGAATGCGTGCAATCCGTGTGTGTGTATGTGTGCGTGCATGTGTTATTTTGGTAGCGGTCGTGTATCGGTTCGGGTACTGCGCTACGAACCCGGCGACCCGAGTTCGTTTTCCACTCATGGCCAACACCAATGACGATTATCTGAACTGGTTCTGGGCCTCCCCTAGGTCGACTCAGCCTAAAACGAGTACCTGGTGTGGTGTATAGTAAACATCGCCACTTGTCTGCCAGATGTTACTGATAAGAGTGCTCCTCGCTACCAATGGGGTTCCCCGTTTGAAACAAAGAAAATATTTTATAGAGGTTTGTTAAGCACCGTTATGGACTTTTAATGTATTTCTTGCCCCCTTCACCACTGGATAAAGGCCTCGCCACGCAGTGTCAGTCGTGGGGAGTTGTCTTGGCCACAGCTCACCACGCTTGACAATGCTGGGTGGTGAAATGATGATGATGATGCCCAGGACCAGCTCAGAAATCACTCGCCACTGACGTCCGCCATGGCCAGGAATCAAATCCAGGTTTTAAAGCGCTAAGTGGACCACTGCGCTACCATTCCACCCCTATGGAGCATCAGGTGAATACAGCAGGCATTAGCAAATGCGATTGTTCGCGGTTGTGCTGTGTAGCTTTGCGGTGTGCCTCCGGGTTGTGCCGCGCGTCGTTCGGCACACCGTCAGACAATTAACTCCGTGTGTTTGGGAGCTTCTACAGGAAATGAACGAGGCAACTCACTTGCTGAGCTAGAATTTGTGGCCAGGTCGCTTCTGAAACAATACGCGAATAGCTCAATGGCCTTTACTGGTAAAGATCAAGAAAAAATAAATAAGTTTAATCTTTGTTTACATTTTCTGTACTTTCATTCTTATCGTGTTTTTGTATTGTTGTGTGTCGTAACGTTCTGACCCCGTGCCCCTACTGGTAATCTGTGAAGAGCTTTACTGCTCATCGGATTCCTCCAGTATAAATGCCGACTATGATTCTCATACTCCTGGCGACTGCCGCTGAAAACTGGCTGCCAAGTTCACTTCCCCGAAGAAGCTCCCGGCACGTCGGCGGCGAAACGTCGGGACATCGTGCCGGACAACAGGCTTGGACGAGACAGCGGCTCCCGGGGCGACGGCGGTGGCTCGCCGGCTCGCCGGCCGGCCGGCTCGCCGGCTCACCGCTGTTGGCAGAGTTCCCGCGAGTCACGGCGCGCGACGGCTCCCGCTCGTTGAAGGGGTGCTGCAGCGTCGTGTCGAGGGCACGGAAGCCCTCCTTGAGCGAGTGCGACTGGTAGTACTCGATCAGCTCCTGCGCCACACACGAATGTCGACCGCCCACCGCCACACGTAGCTTTTGACCGACTGCCTTTTTAGCCTCGGTGCGCTGGTGTGTGTTTTTTTTATTTCTCCCACCACTCGAGGTACTCATTCGAGGCCGAGTTTACTTATTGGAGGCTCAGGACCGGTTTAGATATCGATCGTCGCTGTGTGCCAGGAATCAAACTCAAGTGGCTGTCTTCACGGCACTGTGCGTGAACCACTGCAGCTCCAGCCGTAGTCCACCCCATGTGTTATTTTTTTTACTTTTTGAATTGCTTGCTCATCGTGTTTTTCGCTTAACTCCGACTACAGGCGCGCACTTACAAGCGCACTCCGGTAGGTGGCGGTGAGGAGCCAGCCAGCCTTCTATTGCCACAGCAGGCAGTGTGATCTTTTTAAGCTCAGGAGTCGGCAAGCAAAATAAGAAGTGCCATTGTTTTCTTCCGAATTCGGTATAAAGAAAATTAACTCAATATTTCAAGAGCCGCCAATGCACGTGGTGAATATGAGACGGTGGGGCCTTATTAATAATTAACGTCACATAGCCGGTCCAGAGCCAGCCGCATGCGGCTCTGGAGCTGCCGGTTGCCGACCCCTGGCGTAGCTAATGGGAGTGGTGATTCGCCTACTCATTCACACCGGCCAGATTAAATGTCTCCATTTCCAGTGTCAATGCTTCATTGCATGCTTATTGGGCACGAGTAACCACCGGTAGTGGGCTTTGCCCTCTGTCTATCAGCTCCAGTGTCATCCAGCAGTTGATTGACAAAAACGGACAGTACATGTACGCGTTGTAACAATAATAATATGGAAATACAGCATTGATGAACAAATAATGACACTGACGTTTCAAATGAATAATGGTGACCACTTTAAATGTCGTTGTACTGCTGACAATGACAATAAAGGATCTATCTATCTAATAACCCGGCATGCTTGGAATGCGGGGCCAACATTAGTCCAGCGTTTGGAACCACATGTCAACGTTGGCCCACCACTGGCATGTAAAAAAGAGCTTTATAGATCATTGGATTCCTCCAGCATAAATAAATATTCTGATTGGGAACATAAATATTCTGATGTTGTAGCTGTGGACCCGGCGAGGATAATGAGTGCACATATCGCCGAATGAAACGGCTGTAAGCTTGGCATGTAACACTGGGTTTTACCTGCTCCATAATGAATGCTACTCACCACGAGGCCCCGGAATCTCCTGTGCTCAGTGATGTGGTGCCACCCGTCCTTAATGATGATTTTGATATGCTTCACTTCGTTGTTAAAGCTGTTTTAGAAACGAAAGCAAGCGTTATTTTTGGGTAAACAACAACGTATGTTCAAGCTCCCTTTCCTCCCCTTGTCATCCATCCAACTTGTAAGCCTATTGGTGAAAAGTAATTCCTGTGAAATGTGGCATGGCCCAACCTATTAGGAAATGCTCTTGAAGACGTAGGCAAGTGTGACCCACATTTGCAGTGTTCCACCTCATTTGGAGCGGTTGGAACCCCTTCCCGTTGGATCTACCAATCCTGCCATCACTTTCTGACCATCATTCCCCGTTAAATAAGGTATCTATGCATGTTGAACTTCTTTTTCGCACAGTGAATAGCCAATCGTGCTAATCGGAGGTACGGGAGAAGGAAAAAAAAATTAAACACCCAAAGTTCTGCATGGAAGCTTCTACAAAACCTTATTTCAATCGAGCTACCAGTGGCATGTCATGAGATGGTGTTTGCATTCAGAACTCTTACAGCTCGAAGCGCGAATTCAGTTCCTGAAGAAGCTCCCGGCAAGTGGAGCAAAATGTCGGGACGTCGTGCCGATTGGCGCAGCGCAACAAATCCCAAAACGCGTCAGAGAGCCGCACAGCAAAACCGCGAACACCCGGGACGGTGGCGGAGCACCTTCACGTCGCTCAACCCGTGGCCACGACAAAAACCGAAGTCAAATAAAATCACGAATCAACCCACTACATTTTGTCTCGATTGTTGCACACGATGAAGGTGCCGTTGTTCAAAACAAAATTGACCACGACGGGTCCTGGAGCCGCCCACATTGGATCTCCCCAACCCCCCAAAAGTGTTTATCCGTCGGCGTCGCGTGACGCATTTCTCTGCGCAACGCGCATAACGAGGGACGCCCGTTCAAACGGCGCTAATCAACGTGATCGTGTTGCGGGAGTGGTGGGGGGTGGGGGGGTAGGCTCTTTTCCACGGTTTCGGCGCGACGCACCATATGCTGATGGCGTACTCGCCGGGCCCGTCGGGCCGCTCGCGGATCAGGTAGGTGCCGTTGCTCCGCTTCCTCAGCTGCTGGTTGGCCTGCTCGCGGTCCATGGTGCCCACGAACCTGGGAGCGTGAGAAGCGCATCGCTGTCATGGTACACACAAAGCGCTTGGCGCAAATGAACCACGGAACCACGCTGATCTCGTCGAGGAACTCGAACCATCATCACGCGAACTCCGGTCATCGTCGCAGCAGCGGCTTTTGGCTGGCCATCGAACAAAGACGGGCAACCGCATCGCGCGCTTTCTGCGGCCGTCTGGAACGCTCTTCCTTCCGATATTAGGAACCCACTGGAGCTGTGCACTTTCAAATAATCTAGAGTGATGAACTAATTTCTTTAAAACTTCTTTTTGTGTTTTTGGTTTGTTGTCCTTGCCCGCACCTCCGATTAGCGCGGTTGGCTAAGTACGGTTCAAAAGAAGTTCAACTTGCATACGTAACAGAATATTGGGACAAGTGCTGTTGGTATCCGCGTCATTCTTACAGCGCAGGGCTATCACTAAGGAAGGTGCCGTGATGCACAGCTACGGTCTACAGTAGTTGTCACAGAAGGGGGGCGGCTGCTGCTGCGTGTAAACGCCAACTGAATGTTTTTGCGGGTCACATTATAAGTTTGGAAAATTTGGACAGACTCAAGCACGCAATGGCCTACTCTTTCTCGAATGGCATCGCGGGATCTTCGACATCCACTCAACTGGAAAAAAACATAATTCGAAACCAACCAGGAACCCCTCCTTACAAAAAGAGACTTGCGCTTCAGCGAGGCTTTTCTGGGTAAATAAATGTTTTAATAATAACAATAACAACCGATACTCAGGTCCTATTCACATGCCTTGCCAATGGCTCTCAGAATATTCCATCCTCAGCAGTCGTTGTACGTTGGTTTATATTTTCAAACAGAGGGGGTAACCCTAGAGACGACGTCATTTTACAAGGAGACAGAAGACAAAAGCCTTGGTGCAGTGACCCATTCGTGACGCTAATATAGTCAAGGATAGTTTACAAACTGAATATGCGAAGACAAAAGCTGATATAAAAAGACAAAAATCCCCCGTGTAGCCTTAGAAGACTTTTGGGGCAAGTGCTGTTAGCGAGCACCTATGAAGGCCGGGATGGCACACGAGGGGGTAGGTGACCAGCAACATTCCCGGCTGTCTTTGTCTCCCCAGCGGCGATGTTTACTCCACACCGCTACACCAGGTACTCATTTGAGGGTGAGTTGACCCAGGGGAGGCCCAGGACCGGTTCAGATAATCGTCACCGGTGTTGGCCATGAGCGGGAAACGAACTTGGGTCGCCGGGTTCGTAGCGCAGCGCGCTAACTGCTTCACCACCACTCCCCACACACACACACAGATATAATTGATGCATATAACATATATTTACATATTTAGAAGACAGAGTAAATGCATGAAAGGTGACAGATAGAAGACGAGCCGAGAAAACGTGTAGAGAATCAGTAAATTGTGTAAAAAGAAGAATGGATATTTTATGCTGTAGGGGAGTGGAATTTCAGTGGTTCATGCACTGCGCTATTAACCCAGCTACCCGAGTTTCATCGCCCTCTGGGACTAACGTCAGCGCAGAGTGAAATATGAACTGGTTAACCGACTACCCCTTTGGTAAGCTACAATGACCGGCGTGGTGAAGTAAGGTCAAACGGCGCAGCCTCACCGGCGCGTCGTGTCCGGGACCTCTCATACAAAACAACGTGGGGATTTATGCAACGCAGAAATGCAACCACATCTGAAGACGCCCAGTCATTGGCAGAGGATAAAAGGACGTTCTTGAGCTTGGATTTTAACAGGGGCAGGGGATGGGAATAGGTTTAATCCTTTCTGGCAATAAAACACTTGGTCCACAGGTCGAACACTGTTTGAGACGAAGAAAGCTGTCTCTGGTGTGGACAAATCAGTTTCAAAGGCGATGCATAAACGACCAGAGCATGTTTTTTGTTTGCATGTTCACCACAAGTACAGTGAGAAAAAAGTATTTGATCCCCTGTTGATTTTGTACGTTTGCCCACTGACAAAGAAATGATGAGTCTATAATTTTTATGGTAGGTTTATTTGAACAGTGAGAGACAGAATAATAACAAAAAAATCCAGAAAAACGCACGTCAAAAATGTTATAAATTGATTTGCATTATAATGAGGGAAATAAGTATTTGACTCCTCTGCAAAACATGACTTAGTACTCGGTGGCAAAACTCTTGTTGGCAATCACAGAGGTCAGACGTTTCTTGTAGTTGGCCACCAGGTTTGCACACATCTCAGGAGGGATTTTGTCCCACTCCTCTTTGCAGATCTTCTCCAAGTCATTAAGGTTTCGAGGATAACATTTAGCAACTCGAACCTTCGGCTCCCATTACATATTTTCTATGGGATTAAGGTCTGGAGACTGGCTAGGCCACTCCAGGACCTTAATGTGCTTCTTCTTGAGCCACTCCTTTGTTGCCTTGGCCGTGTGTTTTGGGTCATTGTCATGCTGGAATACCCATCCACGACCCATTTTCAATGCCCTGGCTGAGGGAAGGAGGTTCTCACCCTAGATTTGACGGTACATGGCCCCGTCCATCGTCCCTTTGATGCGGTGAAGTTGTCCTGTCCCCTTAGCAGAAATACACCCCCAAAGCATAATGTTTCCACCTCCATGTTTGACGGTGGGGATGGTGTTCTTGGGGTCATAGGCAGCATTCCTCCTCCTCCAAACATGGCGAGTTGAGTTGATGCCAAAGAGCTCCATTTTGGTCTCATCTGACCACAACACTTTCACCCAGTTGTCCTCTGAATCATTCAGATGTTCATTGGCAAACTTCAGACGGGCATGTATATGTGCTTTCTTGAGCAGGGGGATCTTGCGGGCGCTGCAGGATTTCAGTCCTTCACGGCGTCGTGTGTTACCAATTGTTTTCTTGGTGACTATGGTCCCAGCTGCCTTGAGATCATTGACAAGATCCTCTCGTGTAGTTCTGGGCTGATTCCTCACCGTTCGCATGATCATTGCAACTCCACGAGGTGAGATCTTGCATGGAGCCCCAGGCCAACGGAGATTGACAGTTCTTTTGTGTTTCTTCCATTTGCGAATAATCGCGCAAACTGTTGTCACCTTATCACCAAGCTGCTTGGCAATGGTCTTGTAGCCCATTCCAACCTTGTGTAGGTCTACAATCTTGTCCCTGACATCCTTGGAGAGCTCTTTGGTCTTGGCCATGGTGGAGAGTTTGGAATCTGATTGATTGCTTCTGTAAACAGGTGCCTTTTATACAGGTAACAAGCTGAGATTAGGAGCACTCCCTTTAAGAGTGTGCTCCTAATCTAAGCTCGTTACCTGTATAAAAGACACCTGGGAGCCAGACATCTTTCTGATTGAGAGGGGGTCAAATACTTATTTCCCTCATTAAAATGCAAATCAAGTTATAACATTTTTGACATGCGTTTTTCTGGATTTTGTTGTTGTTATTCTATCTCTCACTGTTCAAATAAACCTACCATTAAAATTATAGACTGATCATTTCTTTATCAGTGGGCAAATGTACAAAATCACACTGTACATGTGGTTAATGCAAGACATGATTCCTTCCAAAAGCTTTCAGTTTGGCGCTTTAACATCTTAACACAACTGTTTTATCGCCAGAAAGGGTAAAACCTATTCCTATATTTTGATCCTGGCCAGAGAGGTCCCATGATGGGGCAGGGGGAGTCTACCCACCCTCCACCCCCCCCCGCCACTGTGTTAGTTAAACTTGACTTGCCCCCCACTGTGCTAGTTAAACTTGACTTGTGCCCCACTGTGTTAGTTAAACTTGACTTGTGCCCCCCACTGTGTTAGTTAAACTTGACTTGTTCCCCCCACTGTGTTAGTTAAACTTCACTTGCCCCCCACAATGTGTTAGTTAAACTTGACTTGCCCCGCCCCTCCTCCTTCCCTCTCCATCGAAGCCTTTTCGCGTTTTCACTTGCGGCCCCCCACCTGGGTGGGGTGGACGGCCCGAATGTCGCCCCCCCCCCAACCCTTCGTGAAGCCCCTTGCACGCCGGTCTTGGGGTTTTTGCTCTCGGAGTCCCTGTCCCCCCCCCACCCCCACCCCCCCCCCCCCCCCCCCGTATTGTGACCGGTGCTTAGTACTGGGCTGGCGTTGAGTCGCAATGAAAGGAATAAATAAATAAATAAACAAAAGCAGGGGCGGGGAGTCGAGAGCACGGATGGCTGGGGGGTGGGGGGAGTTCCAGACTCCGCCGACGGCACCTGGGAAGAATGTGTGACCTCATGGCGACGGGCGTGGTATTGGTATGATTCGTTTTAAGCGATGCAAGCACATACCAGGCAAAGTAATGAAACTCGCTTTTCGAAGGTTCCGTCGGTCGGTTTACCTGCAACACAAACACACAACAGTACTCAGCGTGCAAGCATTTACTTGCTTGACTCAATGGTTAACGAGCTCTTGGCTTCATGCAGCCACATAGTGAGGTATCACATGCCTGTACTGGTGCTGTTGTATACTTGCCTTTGCCAAATTGTTATTTTAAATGTGATTTCCATGTTTAATGTCATAGTTCCTTGTAGACATGAATACGTGAATTCATTGCGTTCAGAGAGTTGAAAACCCAGAAGGGAAACACCCAATAAGCATTACCCTGAGAAAATGGAAAAACAAGCAGGCTTTGATAATGTGGGCATCTTAAGAATCACCATCGTTGATTTTGCTTCCCAAGAATTAACCCAACCCATACAGTGGAGGGGGACCGGGAGAAAGATCAATGGCAGGCCGCAGCAAAAAGGACAACACCCTTATTTAGATGGGATTAGTGGCCCAGCATCTGTTTCGGAGTAGAAATACTCAGCCGTCTCCAGAGGGACTCGGCAAACCAGCCCCAACAGCAGAGGGCACAACCACAGTCGAGAACACCCAGAGAGGAAGGGAGGAAGTCGGGGCGCAGAGTTCATGACATCAGGCACCACCACCGGGATGTCTGCAGAGCCAATGAGCAGGGTTGAACACAAAGGCTCAACCGCTGGATGCTCGAGGGGTGTCAAGTAGTAGGAGGAGCTTTGGGCTTTGATGCGACTTGGGGAATTAATTAAACGAGGTAGAAATTCCTATATAAACAACGTACAGAACCTCACAAATCAGGCTCCGGGGTAGCCCTCGCAACTGGCTAAATACATTTGAGCGTTGCAGAGGCAAAGGCTCCTAGAAGCTAAAGGGATGAGTTCTTGCTAAGGGAGACGCCAAGTGTCTCTGAAAGTAGCCAAGTTTTTTGTTTTATATTTTTCATTCACATTTTGAGTCACTTGAAGAGTCAAGGACTTCGCAAAGTTTGTGTGATGATACATCACGTGGTCGAGGAAACGTGTTGATAAAGAATCTCCGGTGGCCTTATACTGCTCTCCCTCATGCAGGGATTCTGAGTATCCTGCTGTTGCTGTGCCAAGGGATCTTCTATATAATACTGCACCAAGCTAAGAGGTGTCAGAGAATTGTTGACAAACGTTTGTTGCGGCATAAATGCAACCTCCCTAAGTGGAGACCTGAGTTACACGCCAATTTTGAGTGTGCAAGGAAATATTGTCCAAGCGATTAGGGGGGAAAAGCTATATTGTTGTCTCGTCCACCTGACTTGACATTGTAAGAGGTGTGAAGAGGCTGGAGGTGTGTCAGAATTGTCACGTGCAGTCTCCGCCAGGAACTGCAGCTGCCTGCACGCCGCTGACCTCCGGGCATGAGCAACAATGGGTGCTTGCAAACCAAGCCACTCCAAAAGCCAGTGTTCCAGCTGTAAATCTAGCCAATGCGCAGATAACCCGCGAACGTGTGGCAGAGCAGCTGATGGCTAAATGGGCCGTAGCGCACTCCGGCTGTGGATTGAGCCTAACATTCAGTACATCCTTGTGGGACTCAAAAGTATTTTTCGGGGAGAGAGAAGACAGAAGATGGGACATTAGCTTTACTTTCACTCACCATTTTAACTGTACCTTGTACAGGTTGCAGGCCAAGCTTTGTCTGGGAGAATTGAAGAATCTCAGCTTACACGCATTACACATCATAACAAACGAATTGTGTATTGTCGCGTTACCATGAGATGTTAGCCTTGTTGATTTTTTTATCACATGATCTTGAGATTTGATCATTGATGCTTTTCTAACCATTTAGTACGAAGTGATGAGTACGTATATTTGCATGTGTACTGCAGTTCTACTCTGGAAAGTATTTTTGGATGTCAATGTAAGTTGATATTAAAGTTGTTTAGATCAAAAGAGGGTTGTGAATGCTTCTTTCCGAACTTATGCATCGTATTTCTCAATTTTGAGAACTGTATCCTGCGGTGAGATCTGAATTCTGAGACCTGGCATAATTGCCACTAATTGATCAAGTCAAAATCAGTAAATGTTGAAAGCGAGAATCATTGATATTATCACGATTGATAATACATACCGCTATACAACGTGAAAACCAATAATAACGCCTGATTTATGCGATAATATATTAATTAATTGCTTAAATTTACGTTATTGGAATAACTATTCTGTATGATAATCGTATGCATAGTTGTAATTAATATGCATACTAATCGATCATTCATTTTAATTAATAATTAATCAGTAATAATACGTAATTATATCTATTTAAATAATTGATGATTGAAGTAACATTTACACAATTAACATGAATATTTTTTTATTCTTTAATTTTAAAAATATATATACAAACACTGCACGTTGAATGGAATCCGTGAGCAACCTTGGACAATCCGTGAAACTGCTGGACACGTGTGAAAAAGAGCTTAATAGCTCATCGGATTCCTCCAATCTTAAACAAAGTTTCTGATTCTGAACTCACCACCGGCTTCACAAAGTCCCGGGGGAAGAAGCCGACTTGATGGGACATGAGTGACCGCCCCTGCACAGCACACAGCAGGGGCCCAGCACACCAAAGAAGATCAATACAAAGGAGGCATTAAATAATCCATGCGTTTGCTTGTTAGCCAGTGCTTCCTCATCTTATCTTAATGAGATTCATATAAAGCGCCTTGGTAAAGGCCATGGTAAAGCCGCTTTATATGCAGATGCCTGGTAAAGGCTCTTTACAGCAATTATAAAAAAAATGTAAATTGCACGTAGCATGATACTCATTTTAAAAAGCATGTGGGTTATTGTAAATGTTGTGGTTTTGATGCAGTAAAACAAGAGGGATTGATAAGGAGGGGTTTTGGCTGGTCGTAGTTGGGGGGGGTGACAGACAGCTGGGGGGCTGAACGTAATCAGGCATCACATACACTTCCTCTCATGCCATCATGTCGCCTCTGGCCTGTGTTAGTCTACCCCTCTTCCCCCTGCTAAAAAAAAACTAAACAAATAAAAATCTAGTCGCGTGCAGAAAGGAAACCAGAGCATCTGGAGAAAACCCAGACGGACGAAGGGCTATCCGCTTTAAAAGTTCTGCTCAGACAGATTAGGATAAGGCATTGCTAGACCCGTATCTATTGGCCACTTTGCAGTGTGAACCTAAAACACCTGTAGTATTTCCGAGGCAATCTCCTGTACAAGTACGAACCAGGCTCATGCCTGCTTAGCCGCCGAGGTTTGATGAGACTCTTCACGTTCATGCTAATGTGGCCATATGTAAAAGTGAAACCCACTTAATCGACCTTCAAACGACTAAGTGCATCGCCAATCAAGATTTGAACTTGCAACTTTCCGACACACGTACACGATAAACTTTCAAAAGTGAAATGCGTTAATCGGTGATAGTGGTGCACAAGCATAAATAACAAAAAAGACAAAACATTCTTCAATAACTCTATGGCCTTAAAAGCAAAAGTGTATAATAGGTGACGTTTCTGGTCTCACGTCTCTGGCCTCTCCATTTTCGTTCTATAAATAAGGGCAATTGCCTGTGAACGTGACCTATAATAGTTCTCCTTTTGGGGGGGTTGGGGTAAGTGTTATTTACAAATGTGTTGAGTATTTTTGTTGTTGAAAGGCTGTACACTTCCAAAGTTTGCCGTCACTGTTTATTTGGCCAGCTTCTAAACACAGCACTGACTGGGTGGGACAGAGGTTTGAGCGCTGAGTTTGCACCACTGAGATCCTGCCTTCGAATCCAGGCAGGTGCCTGCGGTTAAAACCATATTCCAAAGGCCAGCAGAGGCAGTCTGATATCACCAATGTCTGTGCAAAAAAGACCAATCGCATTAAATTTATTTCGGCACTTCATTTGGCTAAATTCCAGCTCTGAAAAGAAAAATAAATTAAACATCGGTTTGACTGCAAGCGACAAACATTACTCTCCGTAGGGAAAGGCGGGAAAGTGCTGCCCCCATACTGTGTGGACCAGAAATCACTTCAGGACATCTCAGAAGTAGTTTTGTGATGTCCGCTTCTGTGGGCCGTTCTATACCATGGGGGAGGGCGGTAGGGAAGGGCAGTGGGGAGTTGTAGCTCTGCGAAGGCTCAGAATGGATACTTCGTGACGTTACACTGACTGCAAAATTGGAATGGAAGTGGGATTAAATTATATAAACAAAAAGGGTAAAAGATTTGAGATTCAGACCGTATTCATTTCGCACCTCCGATTAGCACGGTTGGCTGCGCACGTTGTGAAAGAAGTTCAACATACATTTCGGCAGCAGGAAGGAGTAAAAGGGGCTGTTAGGCTCGATATCATGGGAGTCCCATGGCAGTGCTAAGCTTTGGTTTCCCTCATGCCTGGGATAGCTCTCATCTTTACTCCCGTCATCCTGCACGCCTGCAGGATTATAACAGGGTGCCCCTGAGCTCAGCATCTCCTCCATACGCATACCGAGTCTGACAGCACGAGCATCTGGCGCTGAAATAAAACTTTAACACCACGCAGAGCAGCTCTGTGTGAATTTCCAAGGCAAATCACAGTGGAGCGTCTGACATCGTGAGGCATAGTTGAGCAAAGGAACTGAATATCGAAACAGTGGTCCCCGGTAAATATAAGAGCTCCGGGTCCCCATCAAACTTAATCCGGCTTTGCCAGTCATGCCACTGGGTTCGCAGTGCAGTGCGCTAACCACTATGCCATCACGAATGTGCATACACACACACACGAACACACTAACACTCGTGTGCACGCACACACACACAAAGACAGCCAGCCAAAGATCCCTCACGTATATCCTACACAGGCTTTTGTTGGAGAGCATCTATGAAGGCTGGCACGGCTCACGAGACGTTGGTGTGGCCAGCGCTATGCCTGACCGCCTTTGTCTCCCTAGTGGTGATGTTTATGCACCACCCTAGGTACTAATTTAGGGCTGAGTCAGCCTGGGGGGAGGCCAAGCACACCTGATGTTAGCCATGAACGCGTGGAGGAGCGCTGCCGAAGTGGTTTATGCAAAACTGGTGACCAGAGGTCGATTTCTGGCCACACAAGTACAAGCTTGTGTGGCGAGAAATCAGAATGTTGGGGCAAGTGCGGTTAGCGAGCACCTATGTTAGTCAGGACCCCACACGTGGGGATGGGTGGCCAGCACCATGTCCCAGCCGCCTTTGTTTCCCCAGTGGCAATGTTTTTTCACATCGCACCAGGCACTCATTTGAGGCTGAGTCAACCTAGGGGAGGCCCAGGACCGGTTCTGTCACTGGTTTGTGGCCGTGAGCGGGAATCGAACGCAGGTCGCCGGGTTCGCAGTGCAGCGCGCTAACCACCGCTCCCCAACGCACACACGCCCCACCCCACGCACGCACGCACACACTCAAGTGCCCTCACCTCCCACCAGGCGGACTCGGGCTCTGCTCGCGTGAGCTCCACCATCTCGCCGCAGGACAGCATCAGCGTGGGCTGCAGCTTGAGGGGCGGCAGCGGCGCGCCCTGGTAGGCCTGCGCGGCCTGCACGTGGGGCAGCCCTGCGGCGGGCCACGGCGGAGAGCAATGGCCGTGGAGTGCGTACGCGGATCCAGAGTTGCGTACGCAAGTGGGCAAGGAAAGAGGACCACAGCACAGCGCAAGTGAGAATGTGCACCTCCGACCAGCACGGTTGGCTACGTGCGGTGCGAAAGAAGTTCAACATGCATACACACAGAATTGAAAATATGCTGCGAGGCACAAGATTTGTTTTTATTTTACCAGGTAAGGCCCTCTGAGCTATATGGCTCTTTTTCAGAAGTAACCTTGCCACAAACGATTGCTCAGCGAAGTGGCTCATCATTTGGAAATGTATAGCAACTAAATATTCTGAACGTATGATGATTCTAAGTGTGGAGGGAAAAAACGGAGAACCCGGAGAAAAATCCAGGTGACCACGGGGAGAGAGACACGCAAACTCCAAATATATACAGCAGGCATCAGTCGGGATCGAACCCACGACCTCCTGTATACCAGGTGAGGTAGTTAACATCTCTCCAACGTGGCACCCCAAGTGTTACTACGACTGCGCCACCAAGCCAACCCAACGCTCAGTTAAAGCGGTGACACTAGACAGATGGACAGATAGGCCACACAATACAAGGGGCACCGTATGAATGAGCTCGTGGACGAGGCGTACCTGAAGGGATCTGTCCGGGACTGGGAGGCAGGGGCCTCTGACACTGCATGATCTTGTCCAGGCATTCCTTGTGTGCCTCCGCGCCGCACTTCTGACACTGGTAGCCTTGGTAAAACAGTCCCCTGTGCAGGAGAAACACGGAAATGGCATTATCAAGGAGGTAACTCACGGCGCTTTGTCGTCTAAATCATCTGGCTGTTTCGTGCACGTGAACATCATTTTGTCAACCCACTGCCGGATGAGGGTCTCTCCACGCAGCGTAGGGAGTCATTTGGCCATACATCAGCACGCTGGTCAGTGCTGGTTGGTGAAGGTGAGGAGCACAAGACGTTGGATTAGTACAACAATGGATCGAAGCTACACTGCTCTCTGCTATAACACCGATTCTATGCATGGTGGTCACCAATCCAATATTGGACACATTCCAGGTGAGTTGGTCATTGGCAAGGCGGTAAAACTATACATTGTTAAATCGAATCACGATACCAAATTGTAACAATTTAACTGCACCTCCGATTAGCACGGTCGGCTTCATACGATGGGAAAGAAGTTCAACATACATACATACTTTGGGGGGGTGGGAGGAGGTGGGCGACTCATCGGAAAACCTACCAGCTGCTTATCTACAAGATATGAGCTTTTTTTACTTAGAATGGTGGTGCTGCACCTGAAAGTCGCGCAACACGTGTGAATGTGAGTGTGGTTCAAGCCTTGAAGTAAAGGGAACAGTTAAAGATGCAGCCCTGCAATTCCTTGCGTGCACCACTGCCGGCAGAAGGGCCTCTGCTCGAGGGAGCTCTGGAGACTCTCTCTCGAGGGTATTTTTGGCCAACAATTCCAAAGTTGGCCAGACACGTTGGTAGAGGTGGGAGTACCCACACTTTACACCACCACAAGCGACCGACGCACCGACCAACCACTTGCGGCGTAACAATTTATACTGCCGGGTGGACAGAACCGGAGGTGTTCAATGATAAACTTGCACAATCGTTTCAACTGCCGTGGCCAACCGGCGAGCTCTGGGATTGCAAGCCCAGTGCGCTGACCGTTACACTCCTCCGCTGTATCCCCCCCCCCCCAATCCCATTTAAGCATCGCCGTGGTTCCTGCAGACCACGAAGACTTCGCGACGCCGCGATCGCCTCACACGGACGGCCCACGCACTTCAGCAGCATGTGGCACACGTGGCACTCGGTTGCCCTCTCGAACGTGTGCATCTGGAACTCGTGCTGGTAGCCGCCAGGACGCAGGTTCGACCTGCCATTACGAACGGACAAAAAAAAAGATGATCACAAAACGCACAAATTGTCGACCCCAGAAATCGTTGCGGACAAATCTTTCCCCCCCCCCACACTCCCCACCGCCTGCTCGGATAAAAAATGGGGGTGGCACTCACCTCCCATGGGCAGCGCCCAGGGTCTGCTAACACAAGATGCTCTCAAGATTTCTCATAAATCCAGCAGGGTCCTCGTGTAGTACGATCGTAAATGCCAGAAGAGGTTACGGATGACAAGTCGAAGTAAATGCGAGCTGTCCTCGTGAGATCGCAACATTCGCTCCCCATAAGGTAGCTGTTGCCTAGGGATTACATCAACACTCCAACTGCACCAGCCAATCATCTGCCAGAAAGACAACCCCCACGCAACAAGGCCTACACAAAGTCACTCGCGTAACATGGCCGGCAGGTCATCGCTCCGTGCGCTTCAGACCGGTGTGTTGATAAGGTAAATACATGGGGAGCTAAAAGTCGAGTGAGTTTAAGTTGCGAGAACAAGACAGAGCCAGAAGTTCACTCACAGCGCCATCTCAAAGTTTTTGGTCCACTTCCTCTTGAGCTCCTCGGTTTTGCAGAAGAACTGGTATCCTTCGCCGGCCATGAGCGGAGTGAGGTAGAAACTGTGCGACCACTTGCGCACGAAAACACAAAGAACAGCGCAATCAGCACAATCACGCCATGGTGGGGGGCGGCAAAGTTGGGGAGGGGGGGGGTTCCTGATAAAAACAACACTTGCGGATTCATTCGTCTGTTGGAGGACATGCAATTGGGCAAGCATGAATTATGTGAAAGAAATTATAAAACTGCTGCTGTTTTTCACTGGCAATCGGTCTGTCCGCTGGTGCATCTTTGCCCACACGTGAGATCGAATTTCCTGCGGATCACCCAGACCCCACGCATTCACGTGTCCCTCTAAATACCAGTTATACAAAATTATTAATATTATCGGAACATAAAAACTTTTTTTTCATGGCAACTCTTAGGTTTTACTTTTGTAGGAGGGGGGGAGCATTTAGATCTCAGGGTTAGGAAAGTTAAATCAGGGTAGTTTACATAAATTAAATATCATATGTAAAATATGAATTAATGTCTGAAACAAAAGAGATAAAGGTTGTTATTATTTCCGGATTAAGCTGCGTTTGCATCACAGCCACTGTGGACCACCTGGAGGACTGTCCCAGACCACCTGGAGGATCGTCACAGACCACATGGAGGACCGTCCCAGACCACCTGGAGGACCGTCACAGACCACCTGGAGGATCGTCACAAACCACCTGGAGGACCTTCATGGACCACCTGGAGGACCGTCCCAGACCACCTGGAAGACCGTTCCAGACCACCTGCAGGACCGTCCCAGACCACCTGGAGAACCGTCATAGACCACCTGGAGGACCGTCCCAGACCACCTGGAGGACAGTCCCAAACCACCTGGAGGACCGTCCCAGACCACCTGGAGGACCATCACAGACCACCTGGAGGACCTTTACGGACCACCTGGAGGACCGTCCCAGACCACCTGCAGGACCGTCCCAGACCACCTGGAGAACCGTCATAGACCACCTGGAGGACCGTCCCAGACCACCTGGAGGACCGTCTCGGACCACCTGGAGGACCGTCACGGACCACCTGGAGGACCGTCACAGACCACCTGGAGGACTGTCCCAGACCACCTTAGAGGACCGTCCCAGACCACCTGCAGGACCGTCACAGACCACCTGGAGGACCGTCACAGACCACCTGGAGGACCGTCACAGACCACCTGGAGGATCGACTCGAACCACCTGGAGGACCGTCTCAGACCACCTGGAGGACCTTCCCAGACCACCTGGAGGATCGTCACGGACCACCTGGAGGATCGTCCCAGACCACCTTAGAGGACCGTCCCAGACCACCTGCAGGACCGTCACAGACCACCTGGAGGACCGTCACAGACCACCTGGAGGACCGTCACAGACCACCTGGAGGATCGACTCGGACCACCTGGAGGACCGTCCCATACCACCTGCAGGACCATCTCAGACCACCTGGAGGACCGTCCCGGACCACCTGGAGGACCGTCACGGACCACCTGGAGGACCGTCACGGACCACCTGGAGGACCGTCACAGACCACCTGGAGGACCGTCACAGACCACCTGGAGGATCAACTCGGACCGCCTGGAGGATCCAACTCGGACCACCTGGAGGACCATCACGTACCACCTGGAGGACCGACTCGGACCACCTGGAGGACCGTCCTCTGGTCTAACTCCGTTTTGAGACGAGGTTCAAAAGAAAGCTGTCTCTGGTTTGGCCCAATCAGTTTCAAAGAGTATGTTTTTTTTTGCATTCTGACCACAAGTATTGTGGTTAATACAGAAATGATTCCTTGTAAAAAGTTTCAGTTTGGTGTTTTAACATCTTAACACCTGTTTTGTTGCCAGAAAAAAGGGGAAAACCTATTCTCATATTTTGGTACTGGCAAAGGAGGTCCCATAATTGATTGACTTAATTGACGCGACATGAAGAGAGGGGGGGAAAATAAATGATTGAATAACTAAAGACTAAAGATTCACTAAAGATTCACCATCTCTGAAAAGAAATAGCCAAGATTATACGTCTATAACCGCGCCAGTGATGGCCAACTTGCGTAACATAAAACCAAGCATATTGGCAAGGGCACAGTTTATTCAAATATTTATATTTTAAGAACCCGAATGTACTCTACGTCTAATGTGTCTTTTGGTTGTGTTCAACTACAACCCAAATCACTTTAGAATTAATCTACAGTTCCGGGAATAGGAAAGGACATCCACCAACTGACAGATTGTGTCACTAGCGTGCGCGCGCGTTTATATTTTGAACACATTACTACATGAGCTGTTCAGCAAAGGGATAGAAATCCGCATCGTTACGGTAACTCCACATTGCCTTTTTTCTGACAGCTTGTGTGATTGGTTCAGATAGCCCGTGTCAGTGGTCGGATCTAGACACTTCCCATTTTTTTTTATAATTCAGTGATTTCTTTTTCTCTGGTAAACATTACTAAATGCCAGTTTTTAGGGTCTCAAGGGGTGTGGGGCGTGAGGGTGTTCCATCCTTTGGCTGCCATTCTGTCATCATTTTCGTCCATCGGCCTTCATCCCTCCGAGCGATGTCTCCTGCCCACGGCCCGTTGCACGCCTATAAAGTCTCAATGAAGTCTCTCCGTTTGTTGCCCTGATCCGTGTGTTCCTTTTTCCGTCTCACTGTAGTGTGACTGCATGCTTTGTGTTCCCCTACGGTCAACTGCCTTCCTGCAACTACACCCTCTCACTAAAAGACTAAACAAAGATCCCCCGTATAGTCTTAATAGACCGCTGGGGCAAGTGCTTTTAGCGAGCACCTATGAAGGCCGGCATGGCACACGAGGGGGTGGGTGGCGAATACCACGCCTGGCCACCTTTGTCTCCCCAGTGACGATGTTTACACACTGCACCAGGTACTTAATTGAGCCTGAGTCGACCTAGGGGATGCCCAGGACCACTTCAGATAATCATCACCGGTATTGGCTGTTAGCAGGAATCGAACCCGGGACGCCGGGTTCATAGCGCAGCGCACTAACCGCTACACTACCGCTCCCCACACCCTTTCACTACGCCTCCATTCACATTCACCTTTAAACACAGGCGGTCAAATGGCCGAGTGGCCCAGCGGCAGCGTGTCTGCTGCTCACTGCAGGGTTTTGCAGGTTCACGCCTTAGCGGCCAGCCTGGTTGATATTACACCGATTGCTTCACGGCGGACGTCCAAGCTCCCATCACGATATGTGATTGAAAGGAAAAGTCACGTGTGCTGGCGTTGTGGTTGAAAGTGCACAAACAAAGTCGTGAATGGCCCACACCGCAGAGCAGCATCGCCCTCCACTGGCAAACGAATGCCCAATTGCATGCCGGAGCTATCGCTGTGGTCCCATTTGTCTGAACTGCAAAGGGCCGTAAAGATGGCCGAGATGAAATGTGCAATTTAGCCGCTTTGAGCTGCCGAGGCATTTAGCACCCTCTGAATGTAAATCCTAGTCCTCAATAAGTATCCTCAGATTTACCAATATCACACCGGCTCTCCGCCCCTAGGTGACATAAGAGGACATCCGCCATAATTCTCACCCACGCATGCAAACATGACCACATCACCCCAATACTCTGAACCCTTCACTGGATCCAAACGCAGTCCTTGAAAAACTACAGCGACGCACTAATTGTCTTCAAGACCCCCCCACGGACTCACACCCACCCCGACTACCTCTTCCCCTCCCATCTCACTCGACTCCTCTTCACTTTGCTCCCTCAGTGCCGGCACATGTGCATGTGTAACATCCAGAAACTCTTTGTCAATCCACTGCCGGATGACGGCCTCCCCTCGTCGTGCGGGTCACGGGGGTTAGGGTTGACCGTACTTAATCACACCGATAAGTATGGTCTGGTGAATGCTGGAGCGTAAAAATACAGGAGTGCTATTTTTTTTTCTACACTGCCCTATGCTGCCCGCCACATAGCCCTGAATCCTGTAACACCTTGTTGTGCATGGTGGTTACCCACCCAAGCAGTACCCAGGCTCGAAACCTGCTGAGTTTCTTAGATCTGATGAGATTGGGTGCATTCCAGGTGACTTAGTAAACGGGCAGGGCAGGTAGCCATGGAAACCACCGTGATGCCACACTATCAGTTGGATGGTACTTGGGCCCTACTCCAAATTATTTGCATAATATGGTAATTACGGTGCAGGGTAATGAGGAGATAATGAAGCCTTAGATTTATATACGATTTAATGATCTTCTTTAATTACCAATAAATATTTAAACATATGCCAAGTGCAATGGAAGGCGCAGGAGCATGTTCAGACCGATAATTAACTTGCACGCATGCTCACATCCACGCCACGTGTGTGAATGTGCACTTGAAGGTGCTTTTCCCTGCAATTGTTTTGCTCGCACCGCCAGCTGGCGCACGGGAGTCCACTAGAGGGCGCTCCAGAGAGCCCCTCTAGAAGGTATTTGGCCCACTCTCCCACACTGGCCAGACATCTTGGAAGAGATGTCAATGTCCAAACTTTACTCCACCACGTGCGACCTGCCGATCGACTAACAGTGATCACACTCAATCTAGATTTGAAGTTTTCGTGACTGCAGGGAACAATTGGCCCACTTCAGAAACAATTGGCACCACTTCAGCAGTTGTTTCTTGCTGTGGTTGTCCCAGCTCATGACGGACGCTTGTGTTGCGCCCGAAACGTCGTGATTTAATTTATTGTATACCTACGTGACTTTACCGAAAGAACCAAAGAGTAGTGATCACACCCGTTTATACTGCTGGGTGGACAGAGGCAGAGGGAGAATTTAGGAAACTCGCACCATTGGGTGAATTGCCGCCCTGGGAGATCGAACTTGCAGACCTCAGGATTGCAACTGCAGGATGCAAACATTTACAGCACAGCAGCGACCCCTAACGTGTGGATACTCTACGCACAATCATGCCAGTCAATTTTAGAACAAGAGGCAACTGGCCTCCAAACAGGTTGTCACACAACGAGGGGGCACTGTACCACAGCAGGCCAAGCTTACTGGCGAGGTTGAATGCGGGTTCTAGGGTCAAGGAGGACATTCGGACAAAGATTCAAGACGTGCGATGGCAGCTGTGACGCTGCAGTGCAAAGTCAGGGGACACGTGCGAGAAAGGATATTGGTACGAATAGAGTTCCATCCTTTGCCGTGTTTTAATTCCCCCACATGTACATCCCAATTGTCCTGTCAGAGTCACGTCACAAGACGAAGAATCCACTTGGAAATCTCGCCGAGCGGTATGCCCCCTGAGACGAAGTGAGGTGTCAGGTGACCTCTCCAGAAAAAAACCCTTAAAAGCGGTGGCATTTTCATATTTTAAACCAGTGGTTCTAAACCTAGGGTGCACAACACCCCCTGGAGATGCGAGATGCCCTTTCTGACCATATTATTTGAGAAGGTAAATCGTGAAAACACAACTTAAGCCGGGGCACGTAAGTACAACTTACTTTGTTTATTCAAACTCTATGTATTTATTAACATTATATATTTAAAAAAAATGTTACGATTGAGAACCAAAGGGGTGCCAACGCCGGTGAAGAACCACTGGTTTCAACTGTGCTGGCGCATGCTTCCATGCTGTCCCGCATTGAGACGGGTGCCTGTCACATGACGAACAAAGCGATGCTATTATTTTTAGAGCTGGAATTTATGCGGGCAAACAAATGTAACGTGACTGGGCTTTTTTTTTCAACGCATGGGCTTTCGTGACCAATCCGTAATTAAATGTTGCGTGTCGGAAACCCTCCTACACCCAACACAGCCAATTAATAAAGTTGCCACGTGAAACAACCGTGCGTATTTATTACTGCTTCAGCAGCCAGCATCAGGCAACTGCCTGTAACTACCAGGGAAACGTCGTACAAAATCGTTCAAAGGTTCTGGCTTGCTGTCCAAAAACACACATTGGTGGTACAGTTGAAGCAGTAATAAATTGTCCACGTTTTTTCATCACGTGACAGCTTTATTAAGTGGCCATGTCGGGTGCAGGGGGGTTTTACGACACACATTTTACTCGAACAGCGATCCGACCCTAAAATCTATGATGAATCACGCACGGGCCTGTCCGCGCCGTCGTTGGTGACCAGGCTGAGGCCCACAACTCACTCTACTAGAGGACCTGGTTTTTTTTTATGACAGGCAGTGAAATCCGACATCAAACCACAGAATTCTCAAGCATTGCCAGAACCCAGAACTCTGATGCCAGAGCCACCCAGGCACCTCTCGTAGCTAGATGATGTGGTGCAATGGTAGGTAGATTTCTCAACTCACAATCAGAAGGCCGTGAGTTCAAATACCGGTTGGAGATCGACTTAGTCCATCATCATCATCATTCCACTGGGGTTGATACAATAGGTACCACAATGTAATAAATCAACAAGTTGCTATGCTAAAGCTAGAAACGCCATTTGGCATAATAATGTGGAATTTCCACATCCGTTTCAGGACTGCTGACACCTTTACTTTGCGTGGCCTACCGCAAGAGGTGGAACAAACAGTTTCAAAGCTGGCTGGTTTTAAAGGGAAGGATCGTCAGAAAAGTCATGGCAGGATTGGTAGATCCACAGGGGAAGGGATTCCAACTCCTTCACATAAAATAGAAGACTCCAAATTTGGAGCACACGGCCTGAGGTTCAAAACATTCCTCAACAGGTTTGGCCGTGCTATGTCAGAGGAGGAGGGGGGTGATGCACGTTTGGACTCCCCCTTCCCCATAGATCTGCCATGCGTAAAAAAATCGGGGAAAATCATTTCTGCTTGGAAATTACTTTCCCCCAATACGGGTCACAGGTTGAATGGATGACAGGAGAAGAAAATGTGCAGTGAGAGTTTCAAACAGAGTGCTTAAAGGACACAACCAAACAACGAACAGCGCTTATGTTTGTGGGTACAATACCTCGGCTGTGTCTCCCAGTGCTGCCCCGTAATGAGCCTGAAGCTTCGCCAAGTGGGAACGCAATGTTTTGAAGTTACACTCAAGAGTGGCATTTATAGCAGCCCAGTGGCATCGCTGTGGTCGCGGTTCGAGCCCGGCGTCATCCTGGTTAATACTGCGGGTGTATGAACCACGAACGTTCACCGTCTCTGCTACACAGGATAAGTTAAAGATCCTGTGAAGCAGGGACCGTCAGTGACAACGTCACATGACAACGTCACTGACGGTCCCAATTTTACAAATTTGAAAAACCGCAGAGTACCATGTCTGTTACTGGCAGACTATACTCGTCCCTGAGACATAGCACCTTCACGATAGCCTTGCGCTATGCGAATGGCACAAATGACAAATGTACTACTATATTATTAGAACAATTATAACGTCTAAATTTTGACTTAAAACTTTCGTGGCTGCAGGAATTCATATTCTTTGGTTCTTTTGCTAAAGTCACGTAGATAGAGGAAAAAAAAGTGAATAAAAAATCCCAATATGTTTCGAGCAGAGCTTAAAATGTTTTATAGAAGATGGTGGATATACAAGGCAGCAGATATTTAACGTGGATGCAACGGGCCTCTTTTATAAGAAAATGCCATAAAGGACTTTCATGACTACCACTTGCGTTGCGATCGAAACGTCGTGGTAGTTTTAATTCACTCTATTTTTATCATTATTTTTTCTATCTACGTCACTTAACCGAAAGAACCAAAGAGTATAATTATAACGTCTCTTTTATACCGTTGATTGCAAAGTCAATGCCGCGGTGCCACTAGAGCATTAGTACAGAGCTCCGGACTGTCACTTAAAAGTCTTTTTCTTACGAATGAAACTTCAAAACTCCCTTTGGACAGCCGCGTCACAAGGCCGAGGTATGTATCTACATCGTAAGAGCTGTGCGTATATTCTGGCTGATCTCTTCCTTTACAGCAAAGGACCAAAGGCAAGCGCTGACCCTGGGTGACCAGCACTGAGAATCGCACGAAAAAAGCAACGACTTAGCCATCGCAGAGAACAAAATTGGCACATGTGCCGGAGACAGACCAACGCACGAGTGCACCAATTTTAATCGTCCGTGAGTTTACGCAAATGTTCACAGAACCCTTGCTCACAACGGTCAGATATTGGAGCCGTAGTTCATCGAGGGCACGAGGAAGTCAAATTGTCTCTCCCTTCGTGCCTTCGTCTGACATTCTGAGGAAGTCCTCATCGCGAATTCCTCAGCGACGAGCTCAACGGGCGGCCGAGGCAGCCGACTTTGGGGCCGCCGTTTGAACTCGCGTAGGGGGAGCGCGAGAACAAACAGAACAAGCGTCGCGCGCTTCCGCTGCACCGCATTGACGGCGCGGTGTTCTTATGCTCGCTTGCTTTTGCCCGCTGCCCCTATGCCGACGAATCGCCACGTCCAGGCCAAGCGGCGGTGCGATCGACCGACGGGCAAAGAGCTACGACAATTCACGCCGTCACGGCCAGGCCCAGCGCTTGCCCATGCGCACGGGAGTGGGATCACAGCATTGCTTTACTCACCACTTTGCTCTGCCTCTAGGTGGCAAAATACGCAAAACACAAAACAGGCACATGATCAGCTCAGCACAGGGGAGCGCCGGCGGGTGGCGGGAGACTCCACCGCCGCCGCCCGCCGAGGTAACGCTACGAAAAAGGTTCGCGGGGAAAAGTTTTTGTTTTTATCTGAGTGCGGTGTGCGCTGTGGAGAGTAGGGGGGGGCGCGTGTGGCCTCGACAAGCTCGGAGTACCTTTCGCGAATCTTTGTTGCTGGTCGGGTCGTTGGTGATTTTGTAGCTGGCGAGCTCCAGGGAATGTTTGAGCTCGAAGTTATCGCCCTTCCTTTTGCACATCAAGGCAGCCTTGTCGAAGAGGAAGACGTACCTGCGGATTTTACGTGGCGCGCGGAGAAAAAACACAATTCAAGTAACGTGTGTATGTGCGTTGAAGTTCTTTCGCACCGTAATGTAGCCAACCGTGCTAATTCGACGTGCGGAGGAAGGACGACAAAGTAGGCACACGAAAAAAACTTTACACATCATGGCGCATGTGAGGGTCGCGAATTCAAATTGCGGGCGAGGTAAAAGTGGTCTCGACAGTCACCTCTCCTGTTTGGCCCTGCCCACTTGTAACACCTTGAGGTCACCGTCCATCTTGAGCTTCCCGTAATCCAACAGAGTATCCACCTTAAACCGCCAGACCACAAACAAGAGGCCGGAAATCGAACCAATTTCATCGTAATCATCATTATTATAAGCATCATCATCAGTCACTTTCAATTTATTGTAATACTTAAGTGTGGCCTACAAAGATATGCCGCAAATTAATGATGTATGTATGGTGAACTCCTTTCGCACCATACGTAGCCAACCGTGCTAATCGTAGGTGCAGATGTTAGGGTAGAGGTGGCTGCCCCATGTCCACTATTGCCTAGAACGTGCTCAATGTCATCATCTCCTGAAAGCTAAGCAGAGTTTTTGCCTGGAGAGTGCTCGGATGGGTGACCACCAACCATAATACGTGTTATAGATGAGGGTCTGTGGTGCACAGCAGAGGCCCGGTGTCACAAAATAAATACAGTACAGTTATTGAACTGTACTTGCATGCGCCCATGCCTATGCTCCCCCCGGGCCTTCGCCAAACAGTCTCCATTAACGGCACGGCGTGAGGAGGCCCTCTTCCCGCAGTGGACTGACAACGTGGTTGTGTAAATGTGGAGGTGGATGGGGAAGCTCAAGGAGCTCGTCATGGTTGTGGTAAAAATATTGAGAGAGCACTGCTTTGAGATGCTGGGTTGAATCTAGGCAGCCACCTGTGATTAAACCAGATTCACACATTTAGCAAATTGGTGGTCTCATCCTGATCCACAACATCTGAAGAAACATCGCATGAGGCCATCCCAGCTATAAAATGTAAACTACCGCTCTCACCTGCATTTAATTAATGAACCTCGCCCTGCACGCGGAAATAAAACGCAGCGTCTGCAAGGAGACAACACTGTCTCTGCAAGCATTAGTATTTTAAGGGTGGCACGGTCGTTGGATGTTAACTACCTCGCCTAGTAGGTCGTGGGTTAGATCCCAACCCTGACGCATGTAAATTTGAAGTTGGAATGTTTTCCCCGTGGTCGTGTGGATTTTTCCCCGCATTTATAAATACGTGTTTAGAGCGTTTAGAGTATTTAGCTGCTTAAAATATCCACATTATAAGCCAGTTTGTTGAGCTATCATTTGTGATAGCCAGGTCGCTTCTGATAAATATCTATATTAGTAAGTGGGCTTTACCTGGCCAAGTAAAAAATAGTTTTGAGTTTAGTTTACGTGTACGTTGGTTATGTCGCAATCAACATCATCATAATAACATTCTTGGTTCTTTAGGTAAAGTCACGTTGAAGGGAAACAATAAAATAATAAAATATATATAACAATAAAATTATCACGACGTTTCGACTGCAACACAAGCAGTTATCATCAGGTGTGAAAACCAACACCAAGAAAATTTGAAAGAAGTGGCGATTTGTATTTATTTCTTTTTAAACGTTAGCACCACGGATAGCGATTTGACAGTTTGTTTAGATGGACGAGTCCATCTATGTTCGGGAAAGAGGAGGGGGGAGATGAAAAATTAATGTATGCTGTCTGAAAGCCACCGTAAGCGTGAACAATCAATTAAGACCCGAAATGGTTTATCAAATCCTTCCAATGATTGAGAAGCCAGAATCCATCTTCTCGGTTGAAATTGTCTCTGTGTTTGTATATGTGGATAGCCTCATGAACGAATCTCTCATGGTAGCCAGATGGCTTGCAGAGAACCTCTGTCTTGGAGAAGTCAATGTCATGTGAGCCTACTGAATTATAACAGTGATCTGCCACAGCCGAGGTGTTGGTCCTACCGTGTTTAAGGTCTGCTTAGTGTTCACGAATGTGGTCCGAGACATGTCGTTTGGTTTCTCCAATGTAACTACTACCACAGAGGCAACTTAGTTTGTAGACACCAGGGTACTGTATGTTCGGAATCACATATTTTATAGACGGAACCAGATCACGGATTTTATGTAATGTGTTGAAACGGACCTGGATCTTGTGTTTTTTCAAGATTTTGGAGATCTTTTTTGTGATCTCCGCAATGTAGGGTAAAGTGATGGTTTTGAAAGGCTCCTCAAGAGGGTCCTTCTTCATGGTTTGAGTGATAGCTTTGCGGATTGTATATTCGGAGTAGCCATTAACCTTAAGAGCTTTGGTGTACGTGCTTGAGTTCACTGCCTATGTGTTCCTGGTCGGATATGCATTGGGCTCTATGGTGATGAGAGAATTCTTCTATGATGGATGGTGGTGGGAATCCGGTTTCAGATAAGCATCTGTATAGATAGCTTTCCTGTAGACAGAGTGGCTCATTGAACCATCAGGTCTCTTTTTTTATTAGGAAATCCAAAAAAGGTAGCTTGCCATCTTTTTAGACTTCCATGGTAAATCTGATGGCTGGGTGTATGGAATTGATGGTGTCGAAGAATTGGTCTAGAGCAGGCCGGCCATGTGGCCAGATGACAAAAGTGTCATCCACGTACCTCTTCCATAAGGTTGGGTGCAGAGTGGCAGTCTGGATGGCGTCAGTCTCAAATTTCTCCATGAAAATGTTGTCTATAACCGGAGATAGGGGGGAGCCCATTGGGGTGCCCTCAGTTTGTTTGTAGAAAGTTATTGTTTTATATTTGTATTATTTTATTGTTTCCCTTCAACGTGACTTTACCGAAAGAACCAAGAATATGAATCACTGCAGTCGCGAAAGCTTTAAATAAAAAATCATCATAATCATCGTCGCGGTAACAACCTTCAAGGAAGAGTCGAAGCTTCGCTGAATCTCCACGATCTGCTTGAGGGTCTCATTGTCCCTCTTCACTTCGTTCAAGTACATGGCCAGGTCCTGCAATGTTGCCAACACAGTCACGGCCGGGGTCAGACAGAGGGCTCGGCTTGTGGTGCGCCGTGCATTGTTGTGGCTCGATTGAACCGGCAGGTGGCAGGATTTGACAGCTAACCATGCATCCCTCTTTTCGACCCCCAATAAATGAGGCAACTTCAAAGTCAGCATTTCAACGTCATTCTAATAACTCATAGGGCATGTCACTTCGAAGGCAGTTATTTAGAGCTTTAGAAAGCGTGGCTTATTCGTGAAAGGCGTCTCGATGATTTGACGCGCACGCGAACGCACCGCCGTCCTAGTGTGGGCGGGAAAGTCAGTTCGTCCGAGTGCGTCCGACACCCCCGCGGCATTTTATGAGCGTTTCTCTACTAGCAAGCAAGGTGGGCACATTATCTTTTGCCGAATTTACACTCCGAATTTGTTGAAATACGATGCACAAGTAAAAACCCATATTCACGATTATCCACACGTATGTCCAAAAACCTTGTAACTGAGATTCAAATGCCAGACAGATATCCCGATGAAGAGTACACGCTAATTATGCATGCGTCTATTGATATAAATTTCCACGCTCCAAAAAAACACGCATCAAATCATGCAAGTGAGAATCGAGCGTGAATTATTCATGGAATTTCTACAAATCATAACGACAATATAACCTTTTTGCGAATGGCCTCTGGAATAATGGGCACCATACCCTGTCACACTACTCGAGGATAATTATTATTGGGTGATAATTATTGGGGGATAATTATTATTACTCGGGAACCCAGGGCAAATTCAGGTATCATTAGCGACTGATGTTAGCCATGGACTGGGATTGAACCAAGGTAGCTGGGCTCATAGTGAAACCTTCAAGCCACTTTGCCACTACTCACTCCCCTTTGCCCTACATACGTCGTTCAATGCCCTACTTATCATGACCCTCCATTATGTATAATTGATATGTATGTGCTTAAGTAATTTATCACATAAAAGCGGGCAATATTTCACTTCACGGTGATAGATAAGCTGTTAAGTCTGCCCTCCACAGTCTAGACTTTACAGCTCAGTTTTTACCACGCAATTTCAGAGAGCCAAATCGGGCCATAAATGAAGTTATACAATCCCTAAAATCCAACGGCAATACCCAACACAATTGCTCGTGACAGCGCAGCAGCACTGAAGTACAGCATTGTTAATAATGGAAAAAACAAAAAAAATGTTACTTACAACAACTGTCCCTATAGCTAGTTGTGGGGTGTGATAACAACCTTACGCCCAATTACTTGCCACCTCAAAATACAAAGCTGATTTTCTCTGAGGCATCGCTAATCTCCCGTTCACAGCCCTGAGCCGGTTTTGGAAATTCCGCAATACTATGGCAGGGGCGTGAGCTATTTCATAGAGCCACTGTTGAATTCCTCCACAATCCGCTCGCTCTGTGAGCCACTCGCCCACGACTGGCGGATTAAATCCACCTCTGAAACACAGCGCGCCCTCGCGATAACCTTGCACGATGAGAGCCAATACCGAATTAACTTGATCATCATCATCATCGTTATGACTCGAGGGTAATCGGGCTGCAGGGTGATGTGGGTAACGGGATCTGCACCGGAATCAGATGCCAATGTCCGCGCAAATATACTGCTCCCTTACGTCTGTAAACAAAAAAAGTGCGTGAAGAAATGTGGATAATTTTAAAAGGTCGAATATGTGGACACCTATTAAGAAAAACGATAGTGACATCAACCTGCGCAAAGAAACAAAGCACAGACTGATTTACACGCGAGGAAATGCTTCCCTCTGCTTGGCACGTGCAGTGAACAAATGTAGGCACGATCAAGTAATACTAGAACTAACTGCACGCCTATGCAGGTCACGATACGTTGATGGCGATTAACTGTGAGTAGCCAAGAAGAGGTATTGTGATTTTTGCACTCAAACATGGCAGAATGTACGTACATTCTGCCGTGTACATTATGTACGTACATAATGCCCGTGCATAACGTGAGTACATAATGTACGTACATAATGTGCATACATTATTTATGTTGATTAACTGTGAATAACCAAACCAATAATAGATATACATTGTAATTTAATGAATAATTAATCCCCCCTCCCCTCCTCTGGCCTTCACACCTGGTTGGCTCACAAGAGATGACGTCACATGTATCCCTCTATTGAATACCGAAACAGGAGGATTTCTCCACAACTCTGGCTGTCGCCTGATGAGGCTGGTTGTAATTGCTGGAGAATCGTTGTCCTTGAATTGTAAATGCTGTGGGTTTACTCTTCAACACACCGGTGTGCTGAACGAGCAACGAATTGGACATGTTTTTTTACGTGACAAAACTTACTAATTGGCTGTGTCGGGTGTTGGCGGGTTTAACGACACATTCATATTTACGCGATCTCACCCAAAAAAGAAACTGATATGAACAATATTGGTCGCAAAAGCCGACTACTAAGTGTTGAACTTAGATGAAGCAAGCACCACTTCATGTGTGAAAATGTCGGACTGTGAACATCTGTGGAAAATGACAGTTACACCATCGTGCACAAATACTGCACTGGGTGTGAGCGGTAAACTGGTCAGGTCGGTTATGTGACGAGATGCAATATGCGAAGTTACAATGTATATCTAATGACAGTCAACGAATCCGTAATGTGGTGTATGTGTGGAGGGGGCTGATTGCGCTGATTTCTAGTGAAAGATTTTAAAGTTTGTTTTTGTTTGCTTGAACTGCAAAGTTTACCAACAGTTGTAAACCAACAAGAGGCTTAACTCGAGGCCATATCACCACATTCGTGGCATGCCAAATGCTCTTTATAGTGAATATTAAATGCTACGTACAAATGATATGTCTTTAAAGGGCCAATGTAATTTGCATAACATATTTAAATGTACTCATGCATCTTACATCTACAGCAAATAAATTGCAGACAACATTAAAATTGTACATTATTAAATAGCATAGGTGAATTAAATATAATCATACAGTACACACGGAAAACCAGTATCGAAACAAATAAATTATCGGCCACACATCTCTAAAAGGACCCTCTTAAATGCATTCTGAGATTCAGTCGGGTAAAATAATAAAAATGCTTTATCCACAATTGTATCCCGATTGTCCTCTTGGCTTCACGCCGTGAGATGAAGAGCCAAATGTAAACTCACGCAGAGCAATGCTGCCCCTTGCATTAGACAACGGACGGTGGAAGTTGACATAAAATAACTACTTCTGAGACCCCTTAAATTGACCTCCGTTCCACACAGTAGGCGGTGGCACTTTCCTATCCGCTCTGCCACTCACAGTAACGTTTGTCACACGACAGTCAAACTGACAATTCAGAGCTGAAACAAATTTAATGCAACAGGTACTGCAGTTATTGTTGACCGAGACAATCAACTCGCTGCGCTTGAGATCCTGATTTCAAACCCAGGATCTCAGCAGTAACAGTCCAACTGTGCGTGTCTCCGTTTGTGTACCTCCATAGCGTCCAAGGCTCTTTTCACTTGTGTTTTCTCTGTCTGGTCCGTCGTGTGTTTATGCAGCTCCTGACATCCAAGCACACGTGATAACACACACACACATTCATATTTATTCATACTCCATTTCAGTGAACATCTCGCCATTGCCTGGAACGTTCGATCCCAACCCTGACGCCTGTATATATATATTTGGATGTTCTCACCGCAATATAGCTCTTTGTCAGAAGTGACCCTGCCATCACAAATGATAGCTCAACGAAGCGGCTCATCCCGTTGAAATGTATTGCAGCCAAATACTCTAAACGCGTGACGTTGATTCGAAATGTGGAGGGAAAAACCTGAAGACCCGGAGAATAATCCACGCGATCACGGGGAGAACATGCAAACTCCAAATATAAGGCGTTAGGTTCGGGTATGAACCCACAACCTCCTGCATACCAGGCGAGGTAGTTAGAATCTTGCCACCGTGGGCTTCCATAGCCACTTGTAATCCAAGTGGGGTTCTCCAGGTTGGGCTGTGTGTTCAGCATTTCTTCTCGAAAGCTTTCACCACGCAATACTGCGAGCATCTTCACCTAATCAACGCCTGAAGATGCCCGCAGTAGGGCGTGCCTAAAGCTTGAGGTAATTATGATTAGTAAACATTATTAACCGCACGCATATTTTACAAATCGTACGTAACGTTCGATAAAGAACTCGTGAGGCGCGGAGCCGGAGCTCAAAATCCTTCATAGGCCAGCCTCAACAGGTGAAGGCCTCAACAGGTGAGGGCCTCAACAGGTGAGAGCCTGGACAAGTGAGAGCCTCAACAGGTGAAGGCCTCAACAGGTGAGGGCCTCAACAGGTGACAGCCTGGACAAGTGAGAGCCTCAACAGGTGAGGGCTTCGATAGGTGAGGGCCTCGACAGGTGAGAGCCTCGACAGGTGAGAGCCTCGACAGGTGAGAGCCTCGACAGGTGAGGGCCTGGATAGGTGAAGGCCTGGACAGGTGAGGGCCTGGACAGGTGAGGGCCTCGACAGATGAGAGCCTCGACAGGTGAAGGGCCTCGACAGGTGAGGGCCTCGACAGGTGAGAGCCTGGACAGGTGAGGGCCTCGACAGATGAGGGCCTGGACAGGTGAGGGCCTGGACAGGTGAGGGCCTCAACAGGTGAGGGCCTCAATAGGTGAGTGCCTCAACAGGTGAGAGCCTCAACAGGTGAGGGCCTGGACAAGTGGAAGGGTGAGAACCTGGAAGGGTGAGAACCTGTACTGGTGAGAACCTGGAAGGGTGAGAACCTGGAAGGGTGAGAACCTGGACGGGTGAGAACCTGGAAGGGTGAGAACCTGGAAGGGTGAGAACCTGGACGGGTGAGAACCTGGAAGGGTGAGAACCTGGAAGGGTGAGAACCTGGACGGGTGAGAACCTGGAAGGGTGAGAACCTGGAAGGGTGAGAACCTGGAAGGGTGAGAACCTGTACGGGTGAGAACCTGGATGGGTGAGAACCTGGAAGGGTGAGAACCTGTACGGGTGAGAACCTGGACGGGTGAGAACCTGGAAGGGTGAGAACCTGGACGGGTGAGAAGCTGGACTGGTGAGTGCCTGGATGGGTGAGAGCCTGAGCCTTAGGTAGCTGCTTGAAGGTGGATGCTGGTGCTTGGATGCTGCTGCTGCTGCTGCTGCTAAGAATGTGCAGTGAAAAATAGAGAGTTTCAGACGACTGCAGGTGCATACAGAGCGAAAAGTCGCTCAGCCAGGACAGTCCTCCTGGTTCCTGCTCAACACACAACCTGACTGGAAAAAAAACACACTTGGAGTGTCTCTACAGAGCTGGCAGGAAGTAAAAAAAAACTTAAATGGAAGACTACATTAACCTCGTGCCGTACGTGCGATGACATACGTGGTGTGAGTGTGTGACTTCTTTTTAATGCTCACAATCCCCATCCGGATACGACACCAATTCCTTTACCTTCTTCTTGTCCACGTCGCAGCCAAGATAAACACAGCCATCAGACATTTTGACACCCCGCTTTCCCTCTTCATTTCCTGCCTTTTATCGTGGATTTTTTTCTCTCTCTCGCATTATGTTGCAGTACACAAATAAGATTTACGTTGTTTTTACAAAGCATATGATCATGGTGTCTGGGCCACACTGGCTCGACTTTGCTTTCTGTTATCTTTTATCGAGATGCAGTGGATTCTGCAAGAGACTTTCATATCCTGGGCTATATTAGGCTTAAGAATGCAATGCCGTATTACGCATCTCATACATTTTAAGAAGTTACCATTAACTTCACTTTTGAACGTGTTTTTAAAAAGGTTCCTAGAATGCTTTGTCAACCTGCGAGTAGTTTTGCTACATTACGAACAGCAGACAAAGATCCCTTTCCCCCAACAGACTGTTGGGGCAGGTGCTGTTAGCGAGCAGCACCTATGAAGGCTGGAACGATACGCGGTCGGTGGGTGGACCAACACCACGCCTGACCGCCTTTGTCTCCCTCGTGGCGATGTTTACACACCGCACCAACTGCTCATTTGAGGCTAACTCGACCAAGGGGAGGCCCAGGACCGATTCAGATAATCGTCACTGGTGTTGGCCATGAGCGGGAATCGAACCCGGGTCGCCAGGTTCGTAGCGCCGCGCGCTAACTGCTACGCCACCGCAGCAAACGGCAGTGCCACACAATCCAGTGTTGTATTGTACTATGCTACTTGCCCTCGAAAACCATAAAATATTAACCGCCGTATTGGGGAAGCTCAAACCCAGCAAAGCAGGCGGACTGATACGGGGCCGTAAGGGCACACCATGAGCAGATGGATGTGACCCGTAGTTGAGACCATTGTCCATCATATCTCCATGGACAATGGTCAAACAATCTCTCAGATCATGCACGGGATTTTAATTTGCAGGTGTGCCCTGCTAAACAGGTTTCACGAGGATCGACCCATCGCATTATTTTGCATTTTGCTCCGTTTGTTCGTTATTACGATGCCCCTGAGCAAAACCACGCGGTCAACTTTATATCCCAGCTTGCCAATGACACGTACAGCCCACGAGCAATGGGAGTTGGTCGTCATCACCCAGACACCCGGTACGTGTGATAGTTTTAAATGCAATTTCCTAATCCTTCAATTGAGGAACACCATTGAGAGAGGTGGATGTGCCTCGGCCCTATAAAGACATCTTGCTGTGGCACTGCGATTGCCGAGAGCTTAGATTGTGTACAATGGGGGGTAATCCTGACAGACGGTGTTCAATATTGACGTGACGGTTGCCAACCAAAAAATCAGGACACACCGTGGGAATAAAAAACGTGTCACAGGATTTCGGTAGAGTGCCGAAAGCTTCGTGTGAATGCATCGTCTTGAGAGAGTGTATCATTTCACAGCTGTAAAAAGCAAAACTTTTAGTGATATGGATTGAATTTTGTTTTAAGTCACCGTATTTGTTTCAGTATTCTCTCTGGATAATCCCTAGAGACGGAACATCTATTATTAAACTATTACACTTTTTTATGTTAACAAGTAAGAACCCACTGGGCTATCTATCTCTTTATCAGAAGCGACCTGGCCACAAATGATTGCTCAATGAAGCGCTTATTATCACGTGGACATTTATAGCAGCCAAACACTGTAAATGCGCGTTTCTAAAAGTGGAGGGAAAAATCGGAGGGCTCGGAAAAAAAATCCAAGCGACCATCGAGAGAACAAGCAAACTCCAAATAAAGTCGTCAGTATTGGGATCGAACCCATGACCTCCTGTATACCAAGCAAAAGAGTTAACATCTCCCAATCGTGAGTGTCCAGGATATACGCAGATGATCCCCCAGGACCTCCGCCTCAAAGAGAGCGTGATCCTGGAGCAACCCGGGCAGGTGTAAACCCTAACTGAAGCAAGAACACGCACGCACGCACACAACCTCGGTGGGGTCTCGTGGGCAACGCCTGACCTTGAGCAAGAGGTGATACTTCAGCACCCTCTGCATCGGCACGACGAGAAGGTCACGCAGGGAGAACTTGCCTCCATTCTCCTTCGTCGTGCACTCCTGCCGGGGCAGAAGCAAACAAAACACAAAAAAACGGCCGCGTCGATTACCCTGGCGCGATATCAACGGCGTGGAGAAGGAGAACCGCACGGCACGGCGATGGATCACGTTCTACCCTCAACGCTCGCCGATCAAGCGGCTCCATGCGTCTCTCCTTTCGTCAGGTCGGCACGCGGGCCTCGCCCACGCTTATGGACGGCATCGCGTTTTTATTTCTTCTATTTGTTTAACTCTCGCCGTCATCTCCAGGCGCCGGCAAAGATGCGTTCGCTTCGGCAGAAGCGAATTTCGCTTCGTGCCTTCACACTATATCTCCGATTAGCAAGGTTGGCTACGTACGGTACGAAAGAAGTTCAACATACATGTGCATAATTGCCATCGGCAATCGCTGCCAGGATCTATCTACTGCTGGATGAGGTCCTGGGCACTCCATTTCGATCGTGGAGGTTGTATGACCATACTTCACCAGGCCGGTAAGTGTGGGTGTGTGTTGGTGAAGCGTAAGTACAACTTATATCGCACCGTACATAGCCAACCGTGCTCATCGGAGGTGGGAAGTTGGGAGTGGGGAGGGCAGGAAATTTTCAGACGTCACTTTTTAGTGATGTTGGCCTTAGTCAGGAATCGAACTCGGGTAGCCAGGTTCAACGTGTGGTTCAATAGCCACTGCTCCATCCCCAATATACACACACACACCTCTGTTTTTACAGAGTTGTTCATCAGAGGCCTTACACCTATAACCCAAAAGGGGCAGCAACAGAGACGTTTATTTTGTGGATGACGGTGAGTGAGAGAGGTGCAACATCTCTTGGACCGAGTCAGGTGATAAGAGGTCAGAGACAGAATGGTTTCTAACATTGAGCTGCACAGGTAAGGAAGCTAAGTGAATGATTGCATCCTGCAATGAGACATCCGCACGCAGTACAGATCATAAGCTGAGCACAGAATCAAGGCAAAATAGCTCCTGAGCGCGATGCCACAACAGTTTCAATATCAGAGAGGCAAGTAGGTGACAGACGGACGAGGATACTTTCAACGATAGCAGTTCTTGCCAAAGTGACACGGGACAGCGAGCAGATTTGCATGGCGTTGTCACTTTTAGAGTTCTGCATTTGGCATCAAACACGAACCATGAGTAATGCATCTATTAGCGCATAATTGGACCCGTCCCAGCACCTGACTCATTGGCTCTTAGCTCGAGCCTTTGATCACAAGACTGCAGGGAAGAGCAATTTCCCCCTCAAGTATCTGCTTCCGTCTGATCTAGCTGTGAACTAGTTAAGCGAAGACACATTTTTTCGTTTTGTTCTGCAAAACGGTTTTGTTTTATCCCTGGTCAACATCTCAGAAATGATCGCACGCAGCACCGGGAGTCCTTTAAATCATTTTTTGGTTATTTTTACCATTTTCACAAAGGCAAGGAACGGCGTTCATTTTTTTATTCCGTTCGCCCAGGGGGTACTGAACCCAAGAACCTTGGAGGGGGCCGGCTCTGGGTGATGACACGGTACATTAGGCCCAGGAGCCAGCATGGCCATCGCTGGCCGATCCATCACAGGGCGGCACGTGACAGAGTGCCACGAACAGAGCGGCTGCTCCGCAGCGAGGGGAAGGGCGCCGCTACCCGGCTGGGGAGGAGACGAGCGCTGGGCAGAGGGCACTGCAGCGCTGCCAACACTACCGCCACCGCCCTCACGAAGCAGCTGCTGCCTCTACCACCTCGTTAGCATCTCACCATGTTCTTGGTTCTTTCGGTAAAGTCACGTAGATAGAAAACAAAAATATAAATAATAAAATATAAATTTAAATAACATTTTAAAATAAAAAAAAACTGTACTTGATTTTTTTGGGGGTTTTCTATCTACGTGACTTTATCAAAAGAACCAAGAATATGAATTCCTGGAGTCACGAAAGTTTTAAGTCAAAATTCATCTCACCATGGTGGCGAGATGTTAATTGTGGAGAGACATTTCTCGTCACGCCCCTGCGAAAGTGTGAGGGCCTCTATGAGAGAGAGGGCCTCTATGAGAGAGAGAGAGCCCTACTCGGGACCCCCCCTAGAGGTTATTTTGTCCACTCTGCCACACTGGCCAGACGTACTGTTGGAGTTCGCGGAGTCTCTCTGCAACGTGGGTCACGTGGATTTTTCTCCGGGGTCCTCCGGCTTTTCCCCTCCACATTTAGAATCAACGTCACGCGTTTAGAGTATTTGGCTGCTGCACATTCCCACGTGATAAGCCACTTCGTTGAGCTCTAATTTGTGGCCAGGTCGCTTCTGAAAGAGAGATATTTAGCTCAGTGGACCTTAAGTGGTCAAAACATAACAGGTCATCCGTAACATTTTGCCACGTGCCTTTATCGACGAAAGTATTTAATTGGCGATTGATAATAACAGCAGTCCCCGTGCGAGGCCGGCAGAGGGCAGCAGAATGTCTGCGTGCCGTGATGAGACAATGGGAGCGCGGAGACTTCTCCAATACAGAGTAATACTACTTCATCCTAACATTTTATTCATAATGGTTCATCCTTAGGTGATTAAGGGTGAATGCCCCTTCTCCCCCTCGCCCCCCCACCCCCCGTTGCAGACAGATGGGCGGAGCTAATACATAAAGGCTTTCAACCTTAGTTGGAAAGTGTTAATAATAATGCCCCTTAACAATGGAATTCTCACTGAGTACTGAGATTGCTTTAGGAGGGCTTCAGCTTTGCGATGTTTGGCCAATTCCATTAACGAGCGTCGGGCATGAGTTAGGAAACTAGAGAGCAAGGGAAACCCCCCTACGCGTGCACGCAAGCATGTATGTTGAACTTATTTCGCACCGTACGTAGCCAACCGAGCTCATCGGCGATCCGGCGGAAGGACAACAACCTAAATATGAAAAGCAGTTCCAAAGTAAATTGCTTTTGAATTTAGAATTAAAAGTGCAATGCTACAGCGGCTTCCTAATGTCGGAAGGAAGAGCGTTCCAGACGGCCGCAGAAGCGCATCTGAAAGCGCGATGCTCGGGCAGGTAAACATTCAAAGCTACACACAGACACATTCAAGAATCCATTGATAAACTGCCACGTCCTGACCTGTCGCAGCCCAAGCTGACACATTGCCAGGCAGTCTCAAATTTCAAGATCTGACAAGATGTGGTGCATTCAAGGCGCAATGAGTCATAGCAACGAGTGTATGTTTAAGAATCGCGGGGGGGAGGGGGGGGTCTTCACTGTCTGTCTGTACAGCCACCCGTGGCTTCCTGTGCTGGCGAACATCGCTGCAGCCAACATCCGCCGTGATGCCGCGATGATCCGGGAGCACAACAAGGTCGTGGAAAACTTCGCCACTGCCGCTCCACCAAGACATAAATGAACATCCACGCCCTCGGCTTAAATCCAGGAGGCCTTCCTGGATAGGCGCCTCCGCTCCTGGCAGCTGAAAATAAAGACACCGGCACTCGACGGTCTGAAGGGTGGGGCGGCTACGAACGTGGGAAACAAAAACATCATTGAGGACCCGACCGTGGAAGTGCCGGGATCATCCCTCTCTCACGGCGGCTGTGGACCACGCTGAGCCGGGCTCGGACGCAGCACGGGAGATGTGCGGCGTACACGTTGTTCCATAAATGGAAAATCAAAGAATCACCAATCTGCGACTGTGGTAAAGCCCAAACCGTCAAACGCATCACCGACGAGCGAGCCGTCCACGCACACCCTGGCGGTACCGCTGCAATCCGTACAGCGTCTACTGCCGCCTTGAATTGGTTGAAGCGCCTTAAAATTCAACTGTGACATCGACACAAACTGTTGCTTACGTGCCATACGAAAGAAGAAGATTGTCATATCTACGTGCCCTGCCTCGACCAACCCGCACGATCTCCCACGACTTGTACAGCATAGAGAGGCCCACATCCAGCAGTGGGCTGACAACACTATGACTACTAAAAAGTGACGCGTGTATTTCGTGTGCCAGCTTCCACAGAAACACACCGTGAGTCAAAAGGTCGATGCACCTTTGTACTGCACTGATGCTGCTTGAACATTCTTAGTGCTCTGAAGAAGGCCCTTTGTGTCCTAAACATCGGCCCTCCGTGTATGAGAGTGCTTCAAGGCGAACGCGCACTTTTAGTTTCGGAAAAATTGTGAAGTGCAGCGAGTTAAATGGACCACATTGTTCTGGGTATTCCCCTGTCACCAACATGCATTTGTACAATCTTAGTGCCGAATTCGTGAGGGACATGCACACAACCATCTCGTTGACATCTGCTTTGACGTCCCAGTCACTTTTTCTACTGACTCAAGTTCATTTTTAAACCTTTTTCATGCACTCACACTTTTTTTGCGTGAGAGGCACACATGCCCATACTGTGCAGCCACCCGTATGTCAATTTAAGATGTTTTGACATCCTCAGCGAGTGAAATCGCATGCGGTGGGGTAAAGTGTGGGTAGGGGAAAACTAAACTAAAACTATCAACTATTTTTATTTTACCGGGTAAGGCCCAGCGAACTATATAAGCTCTTTTTCAGAAGTGACCTGGCCACAAATGATAGCCCAACGAAGTGGCTTATAGTGTGCAAAGGTATAGCACGCAAATACTCTAAACGCATGTTGATTATAAGTGTGAAGTGAAAGACCCGGAGGACCCAGAGAACATCCATTTGACCACGAGGAGAGAGACATACAATCTCCAAATATACAGTAGGTGTTAGGGTCGGGATCGAACCCTGAACCTCCTGAATACCAGGCGAGGTAGTCAACATCTCGCCACCACGGCGCCCCCACAACTCGCCAATGGAAGGGAAAAGGGCTCTTGACAGCTCCGTCGAGTGGGGGCCATTCCCTCTGCAGTGGCATCGGCAAGCAATCGCGGGGGCTGCACTTTCACTCTCACCTTGACGTTTCCCTTCACGAGATCATTCACGACGTGACCCTATCCACCACTTCACGACACACTGTACCAGTGCCACCTTGGAAGCACCCAAACGCTGCCCCTTGCACGGCTGTGATGTCACTCTACACAGGAATTGCCAGGAGAGTTCCTAGCCAGCGGTCGATCCCGACAACAAAACGGCGGGCCAAAATTAAGACGCCGCCGGAGAGAGAGAGAGAGAGGGGACGTCGACCAAGGAGACGGAGTGCTGAAATCAGCTACGTGCAGGTGCTAGGTCAGGCCGCTGCGTCGCGAGACTGCGAGGGATGGCGACAGCTTGGGGGGTCCTTCATCCAGTGGTGGATTAACCATGGCTTTCTGATGAAAATTCTGTTTATTTATTCACCCAAAAACATCGGTGGATAAACGGTAACCTTGTGAAGGCAGAGCGTGTGTGTGAATTTGGGGAGCGGAGGTACAGTAGTTAGCGCGCTGCGCTATGAACCCGGCGGCCCAAATTAAATTCCTCCTCACGGCCAACAGCAGTGACGATTATCTTAACCGGTCTTGGCCCTCCCCTAAGTCGACTCGGCCTCAAATGAGTACCTGGTGCGGTGTCTAAACATCGCCACTGGGGAGACAAAGTTCGGTCGGGCGTGGTGCTCGCCCACCCACCCCCTCGTGTGCCGTGCCGGCCTTCATAGGTGCTCGCTAACAGCACTTGCCCCTACAGTCTGTTAAGGCGACACGGGGGGGGGATCTTTGTCTTCGAATGCATCGTGCTTGGCGGCAGCCCAGGCATTATGCATCTCCACACACAGCAGCAGCCAGCTAGTGGAAGAGGGAGAGGTTAATGCTGCCAGGTAATTGCAATGAATAAAACACGACGGGCCATAAAGGGGAGCACCGCTCGGTCAACAGCGCGGGCTGGGCACGAGCTCGCCGGGGAAAAGGACATCGCAAAAAACGCCCCACAACGTGCACACGCGGCTATTCCGATCGAGCATCCCGAGTCAACGTACGTACGTACGTTGTATGTACGTATGCTGAACTTCGATCACACCGTACGCAGCCGACCGTGCTAATCGGAGGTGCAAGGGGCAACTGCTGCCACGGGGCAATGGCTGGCACGCCGGATTTGCAATCCAGAGGTCGCGGCAGATGAACACAAAAAGAGCGGTGCAAGTCCCTTCAATGCCTCCCCACCGCTTCTGAGTCGCCCGGCTGTGGTGCAAATTGGTGACGTCGCAGTTAGTCGATGGGCTCGCTCGTGCGTGATGGTGTAAAGTGTTGGGTGGTCCCACCTGAAGGAGTAGGCCAAATATCCCCTCGTGTAAAATCCACCAGCAGCGGTGTGAGCGAGTAATTGCTCGCTCACACCGCATTTTCACCTATCTTGAGTCAAACGCATTTGTTCTGCTCTTACCTGCAAAAGGCCATTCCAGTCAAATGAATGATACACACATACCTATCGGGGTGGAGTAGTGGCGCAATGGTTAGCACACTGCGCTATGAACCAAGCGACCAAAGTTCATTTCTTGGCAATGGCTAAGGCCAGTGATGACGAAGCTTAACGGGCTCATGATGAGATGATATTAACGAGTCTGAATGAATACAAAGATAATTCAGGAACATTATTACAGACTTCGTGGCATTCAGAGAGTCCAAAAACGAAAATTGGACATATATATGTAAAAATATCTACCGAGCTTGAGCGAGTCTGGTAATATTGTGCTCCCTTCACACTCACACGTGAAGTCTACAGATGAAGACGTGGCTAAAACTCCACAGATTACCGGTGACTAAACAAAGACTACGAGCAAAGAGAAAAATGTTGACACCGGCTCTGGTGGTGTCAATATACTGGGGTCATGGTACAGGGTGCTAATTGGTACAGCGCCACTCTAAAGACAGAAACAAAGATCCCCCCCCGTATAGCCTTCACAAAATGTTGGGGCAAGTGCTGTTAGCGAGCAGCACCTATGAAGGCCGGCACGGCACACAAGGGGTGTGGGTGGCCAACACCACACGCGGCCGCCTTTGTCTCCCCAGTGACGAAGTTTACACATCGCACCGGGTACTAATTTGAGGCTGAGTCGACCTAGGGGAGGCATAGGACCGGTTCAGATAATCGTCACCGGTGTTTGCTGGCCGTGAGCGGGAAATGTAACTCGGATCGCCGGGTTCGTAGCGGCAGCGTGGCGCTCACCACTACACCAGCGCCCCCCGTACAGCGTCCACTCCCCACGCACGTGAAATGTGCGTTCACGTGTCCACGCGTGCACAAACCGGGGGAACGTACGTCGAGCTTGTTCTTGAAATCTTCCCGCGTCTGCAGCAGCCGGTTGATGCACGTGTGGGCTCCCTCCAGCTGACTGCAGTACCTGCCGTAAATGAGCAGCCTGCACACGCACAACGGCCAGCGCGGCGAGGTATGGTCAGAAACAGCGAGCGTGCCGACACGGCAGCCGCGTGCCTAGATAGCAACACGCAAAGGTGTGCTCCGGGCGAACGACACAAACACATGCCCCCCCCCCCCCCCCACATTGCATGTGCAACGCTCTCAATGCATCGCCTGCTCCGCAGCTCCAAAGAGAGTTGAAAGTGTGACCAGTCCCCCATCAGTCAGCGGCGAAACAAAGAGACGACTGCAGGCCAGTTTCGTTGTCATTAGGACTCATCAGTTACGGCCGAAGTGGTCAATTTTCACCGCCGCCGTGCGCCTCCTGAAGCCCAGGTCATGAGAGGGCCTGCAGCCAGCGATTTCCAGTTGTCATGGATTTTCTCAACACTTACGGAAGGTTGCAATTGAATCATATCGTCACACTGCTCCACTTTCGAATTCCCTCGTCGCTTTTGTAAAAGCTTGATAAACCTTGCTCGATACAATAAGCACATTTATTGCACCTTGAACAGCGCCGTACATGCTGCATGTGGCTTTGGCATTTTGTGCCTTCGGGTGCGGTGCTCATTAATCGTGACTTGAAAAATTAAACGGGGTGTGTTTGTATACAGCATGTGACACATGCGCAGACAGGCGGAGTTGAACGATTAACCCGCATTGCAAATTGACGCATTTTTACGCTTTGATCGAGTCACCGTTCCTCCGTTGTGGTGGGTGCAGCGCCACTGGTGGCTGCAAGGGGCTCGTGCGATGAATCCATTACCGACGCACGTATCCAGAGTGTCATTATTCATTTTGATTGGTGAACGAATGAAATTGTCATACAACTTCTTGACACACACACACAAAATGAATGAATTAATTAGAAATCCTGTCGTCAATCAAAAACCCCGCAGCTTAAATTATCGCAAAGGGTGTTTCTTTTTTTCACGGTTCGAGCAAACAACTGGAGGCAATCATCTTTCTTTTTTTTTGGGGGGGGGGGAGTTCCTAAGCCAGTGCTCGGAATTCCCAATAACCAAATCGAGAACAGTGTGTCTATAGGCCCACCACTGTTGACTTCTTACAAACCGGGGAGAGACGGTGGGCTGAGGAGTCAACGCCCCCAAACAAGATTTGAACTCGCGCGCTTCCAGCTGAGAGTCGCCGGCGCCATCCCCGGCGCCGATTGAATACGAATGCCCAAATGGGCGCTCGACACGAACATTCCGCGCTCATGTCCCCCCACGGTGAATATTTCTGGCTTCGTTATCAGACCGAATCGAGAGACCGTATGCGGCACATTACAGAGGTGATGAAAAATCCTCGCCGACCATTACTTTTAACTCCCCCGCCCGCCATCACGAAAAGCAATCTTGCACCGGCGCTATGAAATGAGAGTGCCAGTACGTTTTGCGTTCGGGCTCCTCTCAAAAGTAACCGAGATGTTTGTGGGGGGGGGGGCAAAGGGGGGGGGGCGGAAATGCATTGAAGCAAAACAGTTCATTAACGGGACATCGGCGCCCGTGCAAGCAGCCCTCATTAACGGGGCCGTGTTCGTCTCATCGAGGCCACGACGATTATTTTCTAATGCTCTATTTTATACTGACTGTTGACAGGCAACTGGGCAGGCAACTGGGCCACCGCCTCTGGCTGGGAAGGCCATTTTCTCTGGATATAACGTAAATAGCTTTTTTGTATTTATTCGCCGGGATACAGGGGATGATGGGAGGAATGCCTGCAGCCCGGCGAAAGGCTCAACATGGACAATGTACCGCCCGGTGTCAATCCACTGCTGGATGAAGGCCTCCCCATGCCGTGTCGGTTATGGGGGTTGTTGAAACCGTACTTCGCATCAGGCCAGTCAGCGAGGGTTGGTGAAGTGGGGGGGGGGGGGGACCCAATGGAAGGTTCGGATATCCCTCGCCACTGATGATAGCCGTGACCAGGAATCAAAATTAGACTTCGGTCGCTCAAGTCTGTGCTCGCAAACCCGCACTGACAAGCAATGGTGAAGTATGGTCAAATAGTCCCCCCCCCCCACCCCGCGCGACCCGCACGTCGTGGGGGAGGCCCTCGTTCGGCAGTGAAATGACACAAAGGCTTCTTTGTGTGTGCGTGCGGTAACCACTGTGCGACTGCTGCCCTGATAGTGAAGACATGATTTCAGGCTGATTGTCATGTAAATACACGTGCACGAACAACGCGATCCGTTACACGTTTCTTTTTTTCCCTTCCCCCATTCCCCTCGTGCCCGTTTCGCCTCGACGAGGCTCGCAGCGGATGCGCTAATTTATATTCGTTTCGTTTCTCTCCCGTTCTCCGGAGGTAGCCGTGGACTGGCACAATGTGGAAGCGCCAGGTGCCCAAGGGGAGCGAGCCAGCTGCGCCAGAAACCCAGGCCTCGACCGCCGCGCCGAGCCAAGGTCAGGAGGTAAAGTGAGGTTATCCACAGTGTTTCACGAGCAGCGCTGCTTCGGGGCCATCCATTGAGTAGGTACGCAAAAATCTGTCAAAACTTGACGCCTCCCCCCCTCCCTGTACGCACGCGGACTTTTTACACCCCCCCACCCCCACCTGCGTACGTACGCCTGATGCACCCCCCACCCCGGCCCCCGAATCCTATAGGACGGCCGATGTTTAATCCACGCAGAAACGATCAAGGATTAATAATATTAACGTGTTGAAGCAAACAAATAGTCCACCGCCGGACTATCTAACTCATTTGAAGTCCAATGTAGACAAATTATTATCGAGGCTTCACCCCCCCCCCCCGCCCCATTTACTAAGCGTATGCACATTGTCAGTAGACCCCCCATACTCAAGCGAACGCATTTGGGTTAACCCCCCTCCATGCATACGTACCCAATGGATGGCCCCTTACTGCAGACGTACCGCGCAAAGACATATACCCCGCGTGCAGCATCTAACAGATCGGCCAAGTGCCGTTAGCGTGAGCACGCGTGAAAGCGAGCACGCCGCCACTCAAGGGGGTGGTGGTGATCAGCACCAAGCCCAGCCGCCTTTGTCGCCCCAGTGCCGCAAGTGCTCACTGAAGGCCAAGTTGACCAGGGGAGGCCCGGGAGCGGACCAGATATTCATCGCCGATGTTGGCCGTGAGCCAGGAATCGTCCGGTTCCAAGCGAAGTCTACTAACCACTGCCCTACCGTTCCTCCCACCTAACATACATACACGTGCACACATGAACACAAGCGACAGTCAGAATACACACGTGTATATATATACAGCCTTTTGTCGATACAATACTGGGTGAGGGCCTCCCCACACCACAGAGCAGCAACTGCCGACAATGCGCTACTCCCAAAAGGGATTTGAGCTCTCACATTTGGTGTACTGCCAGAGAGAGCACATCTGAGCTGGATTTTATATTTTAAAATTATATAAAGACTTAGAAATAGAGATATAAGCCTTAGCTTTAAAATACTGGCGAGAGATGTATGTATTCTATAGATTTTTATGTAAAGCAAACGCCTGATATTTCACTATTTCCAGTCTACGTGTCATATTTAAGAACAGCTTAGGAATTGGTGTACTTGCAATTCATGACTGTTACTCGGTTTATTGGCTATCGTTGATGGGTAATCTTAATATTCTTAGTTTTTTCGGTAAAGTCACGTTGAAGAGAAACAACAAAATAACAATATATATAAAACAATAAAAAATTCTCACGACGTTTCGACCATAACTCAAACGGTCATCATCAGTAGCAATTAATCTGTTAAATAGTTACATTATAACAAGTAAAGCTCACCGTAACACCCTTGAAACTTTACTCTGGTTCGTATTTTCACTAAAGGTTTGACAGGCTCCTCAAATCAAATATGCATACGACATCGAAGAGTTTCACTTTTAGCGAGCGAAACAAATGGCTGTATCCGGCGCTAATGGCACGTAGTTCACTTTGGTCTAAAAAAGTAAAAGCATTGACTCTTAAAGCTAACTTTGCCATCGAAATTAACCCTGCGTGCAGAGGGCGGGTTTAACACTAAGCCGCAATGCACAATCTCCGGGTTATGACAATTCCGTTTGGCGGATCGGTTTAATCGCGTGACCGCTCTGTCTTGTAGGCACCCCGGTTTCCACCAGAGGAATGTGGAATTCTCCCATCACACGACTCGGGTGAATATTAATACCACGCCCCACGGCTTGTCGCAGCAGGGGGACGGCCTTTGTTTTCGCAACGACATCGCAGAATATGTTTGGAGTAACTTGCTGATGACATCAAAACACACACTCTCACACACTGGACGTGGCAGCAACCGGCACGAGGACTTAGTGTGAAGTTGCTTTAACAGATCCTGCCCTAAGTAGTACACGCGATTATACTTAATGAATGAAGCGAAAGGAGAAGGCATGCTGCAGCGTTATTCACGCACGTAACCTACATCCGGTAATTATAATACAATTACGTTCGCAAAAGACACCTTTGTTCCATTGTTACATTTTAATGTTACATTTTATTTCAACGTGCAATTTTATCGGGAGACTGTGTGTTGTTTTTTTTTACATTATGAGACCTCCTTTGCCAGAAACAAGATATAGGAATAAGTTTTACCCTTTTAACTGGCACAAAAACTGACACCTTTATTCAAGGCATCATGTTTGCAATAACCACAACAAAATGCATTTTGACTGCTTGTGTTGTGGTTATTGCAAACATGATGCCTTGAATAAAGGTGTCAGTTTTTGTGCCAGTTAAAAGGGTAAAACCTATTCCTATATCTTGTTTCTGGCAAAGGAGATCTCATAATGTAAATGCTCACCCCGAGCCCTCAATACTCTGATAGTGCGCTGTTTTTGAGTTGTACGCCTTTTGGCGTCTTCTGGTCCAACACCAATGGAGACTAGGCTCTAAGAAAAGCTGTCTCGGGTGTGGACCAATCAAATTCAAGGACAGTGCATATTATTGTAAGAGTTGTCTTTTTTGTTTGCATTTTGACTGCTTGTGTTGTGGTTATTGCAAACATGATGCCTTGAATAAAGGTGTCAGTTTTTGT